GAAAGTGGCGTGTTAAAGTCTCCTACTACTATTGTGGAGCTGTCTATCTCTCTTTTCAGTGCTGTTAGAATTTGTTTTATGTATTTTGGAGCCCTATCGTTGGATGTGTAAATATTTATTACAGTTATGTCCTCCTGGTGTACTGACCCTTTAATCATTATATAGTTCCCCTTCCTTATCCTTTGTGGTGGATTTTAAAGTCTATTTTGTCAGAGATTAATATTGCCACTGCTGCTCTTTTTTGAGTGTTGTTTGCTTGACACCCTATGGGGTTGTTCTACTTTGTCCTTTAGGGTCTGTCAACGGATTTATTTTTTTTTTTTTTTTTTTTTTTTTTTTTTTTTTTTACAAATATTATATAATAGGAGGAGAAATAAGAAGGAAGAAAACTCCACGCTTCTCCAAGAAGGCAAAATGGAACTGCACATAGTTGGGGCACATATAGTGGAAGTGTGCATGGTGGGTCCCCGCATTTGAAATCCAGTATCAGTATCCCCTGACTAACGCCTCATCCCCTGGAGCCAGAGTGTGGGGGTTCGAACTGCAGCTCTACATGTATAAGCTAGGTGACCTTGGGCAAGTGACTTAACCTCTCTATGCTCTGCCAAAGGGAGGTGAGAACAGTACCCACCTCCTAGGGTTGCTGTAAGAACATGAGTTCGTAGTCCTAACAGTTGTCAAGAGTGTCTGGCACATGGTAGGTGTTTTATCAGTGTCAGTTAAGATCTCCCCCAGGGGCCAGCAAACTCTGCCCCTACAGCCCACATTCTAAATCCCAGCTGTCCCGTTTTTACAAATAAAGCTTATTGGAACACGGCCCCACCTATTCATTTACATATCATCTATGGCTGCTTCTGTGTTACAACCACAGAGTTGAATAGCTGTGACCCATAAACCAAAACCAAACCCATTGTCATTGAGTCGATTCTGGCTCATATGACCCTATAGGATATAGGACAGAGTAGAACTGCCCCATAGGGTTTCCAAGGCTGTAAATCTTTATGGAAGCAGACTGCCACATCTTTTTCCCATAAGAGCAGCTGGTGAGTTTGAACCACCAACCTTTCAGTTAGCAGACAAGTGCTTCAGCACCCTAAAATGTTTACTCTCTGGCCTCTTCCAGAAAAAACTGGCTGACCCCTGATCCACCTCCCTCTGGGCTCCCTTTCCTGCTTACGATCAACATGATCACCAGCTGGTTCTTCTTGGCCACCTGCGCGTGGGAGAAGATGCAGTCCAGCACCCGCGACATGTCTGGCTTGAACTGCTCCCTGAGGTTTATCACACACTTGTCGTAGTGGGCTACAGAGGGAGACAAGAGGTGGCAGAGGGGTGAGGCTGGGACTCCCCTACCGCCATGGGGGCTTGTCAGCAGCGTCAGGTCAGTGCGTCTTGCCTTGTTGGAAATGGTGCTCGACACGCAAATATCTTCGCAGGAGATCCAATACCACCGCTTTCATATAGCCGCGGGTCCCGCTGCGGTACCTGGGGCGGAAAGGAATGCTGTGAATGCTCAACCCCACTTCCTGGTAAGCCTGAATACATTCAGCCAGGGGTAGTGTATTTTAAGAAGGAAAATACAAGACTAATAAAGGATCTGGAGACCGTGCTCCCTAATCCTCAGACCTGGAAGGGACTCGTGAGTTGGTGCATTCGTGCTAACTCTGTTGGCCAGAGAGAGAAGTGACTTGCTTAAGATTACACATCAAACAAGAGGCCAAGCTGGGGTAGAACCCAAGCCCTAGCCTTTGGATGGCTCCTGCCCATCTCCAGTGAGAAGGAAAAGATTTTAGAGCTGGGATCCTGAATTGGGAAAGCCAATATTTTCAGGCTTTAATCATTAAAAGCAAAAAATTTAAAGCCACCATCCAATGTATAAAGACCAAAAAACCAAACCCGTTGCCATCGAGTCGATTCCTACTCATAGCGACCCTACAGGACAGAGTAGAACTGCTCCATAGGGTTTCCAAGAAGCAGCTGGTGGATTCGAACTGCCCTCTTTTGGTTAGTAGCAACTACCCCATCAAAGACAGTTAAAAAAAAGATTCCTCTAAAAAAAAAAGAATCCTTCATAAATTTCACTTCCCTTTAAAAATGAAATTTTAAACTGGATATTCCCCAAAACATTTCCTCTTCTAACTCATTTCTGAACTCAGGGAATCAAGTTTCTTAAAAGATGTGACACTGAATTTTAGGGAAGTAGAGACCAGCTTACGTCCAGTACCACTAAATGACAACAAAAGACAGCATGAACCTAAAAAACTCATTTATCCAAATGTGATAAAGATAACACAGCATAGGACAGAGCTCTGATAATTATACACCCACTCTTCACTCATCAACATTGTTAGGTTCCAAAGACCAGGTCTTTATGCGAAAATTGGCATTACTCGAAAATGGAGGATGACCGTATCAGATCACAAAATGGAAGATGACAACATCAGTACATAACTGACAAATTACATCATTATGTAACTGCCAAACCGCTGAGAATCATGGCCCAGCCAAGATGACACATAACCTTAACCACCACAGCCACTGTTACTCATGCCTCACACCTCGGCATTTGTTACTGCCAGACATAGGTTGTTAATGTGCAAAATAGTCAGTGGATTTTTTACTATTATTGCAAATGTGAAATGTTAGATAACGAGATAGTCAATATGTAAGGAGTAGGTGTGCTCAACACAGAAAAAAACGGCTAGGGAATTTGATGAATTTATCATTGGTTCATTTCTTCTAGGTGTTTCCCTGAAGCTAAGGATGGGGTTAGGAGCTCCTGGGTGGTGCAAATGGTTAACATGCTCGGCTGCTAACAAGAGGCTGGAGGTTGGAGTCCACCCAGAGGTGCCTTGGAAGAAAGGCCTGGCAACCTACTGCTGAAAAAATTAGCCATTAAAACCCTATGGAGCACAGTTCTACTCTGACACACACGGGGTCACCATGAGTTGGAATCAACTGAACAGCAACTAGTACTGGTAAAGGTTTAAGGCCAGCTGTCTAAAACAGACATGTTCTGGGGAGGACTCACCCTCCTAGCTCTTGGCTGTGAAACTCTGTATAAGGAATCACACTAAAATCTCCTTCCTTAGTTGCATTCCTATATGGTCGGTGTGTGTCCCCATTAGCTGGGGAGCTCCTTGAAAAGAGGAGCAATCTTCCACAGTCCTATATTCCCTGAACCTGTGACAGTTTCTACCACATTGGCTCATTCAAGTCTGAGAAGGCTTCGATTCTATCTTCACAAGCAAAGCTTTTTTGCTAGGCCAATTTTTCATGCAACATGGCAGAAGTTCTTTTTATCATCAAAATAGTTCTCCAGCAGACTATGCCTGCTCAATAATTACTTGAGATAAAACACAAATGATTCATCAACTGTCCTTTACAAAGATCCTGAACACCACAATGGTCATTTCTAGGGTCCTTTACCATATATAGGAGTCCCAGGATGGTGCAAAAGAAGATTAAGTAAACGCAATTGGCTGCTAACTGAAAGGTTGGTGGTTTGAATACACCCAGAGGCACCTTGGAAGAAAGATCTGGTGATTTACTTCTGAAAAATCAGCCATTGAAAATCCTATGGAGCACAGTTCTACTCTGACACACATGGGGTCTCCAGGAGTTGGGATCAACTTGACGGCAGCTGGCCATTTTACCATGCTGTCTTATACTCAAAGTTACTATTCTTGTTAAGTACACGTCAGCACTTAATAAAAGTTAATCCACTTATTACTCAAAGCAACTTACCTTGAGTAGTGTTTTTACTGTCATTTTACCAGTTGGCAAACTAAGATTCACAGAAGTTAAGTGCCTGGCCAGGGTTCTGCGTTTAGTAAGTGGCAGTGCATAATCGGGGTCTTCCAACTCCCCACCTGTTCACTGGGTTTGAGCCTGTCCTTAAAAGAGACCCCCAGGAAAGAAGCAACTGGACTACAGGACTAATAACCTCCATAAACCAGAAGAACTCAATGGTGCCTGGCTACCATTACTCAACGTTTCAATCAGGGACATAATAGATGGGTCCTGATGGAAAGGGAAAAAATGGGCAACAGAACTTCAAATTCCCAAAGAATCCACACTTACTAGACCCAGTGAGGATGGAGGAACCCCGAGACTATTGCCCTGAGAGTCTTCAAACTTTGAACCAAAACTATCCCCTGAAGTCACCTTTAAACAAAAAAACAGTTTAGCTCAAAAAGCGAAGAGTATCATCCTTAAGTATTGCACTGCTAAAAAAAAAATAACAGTATCTTTATGAGACCAAAGGGACAACAGCAGCTCTAAAGCACAGATGAGAAGTTCAGGGGCAGTGAGTCTAAATTAACAGGAGTGAAACAATCAGAGCAGGTAACAAGAAGGTTGACACAATGTGAAGAATGTCACTACTGTAATGAAACTATTCATCACCCCCAAATGAAACCCTGTACCCATCTAACACCAATGAACAATATGTGTAGAAATTGCTAAATGGTAGCCTGTTTTGATGAGTATATTTTCACCAAAAATTAAATTAAATTTGCCAGGCTACCACCACTGACTGCTCTGACCAGGATCACAACAGAGGGTTCTAGACAGAGCTGGAAAAGGATGTAGAACAAAATTCTAACTCACAAAAAAAAGACAAGATGTACTGGCCTAACGGAGACTGGAGAAACCCCGAGAGTATGGCCCCCAGACACCCTTTTAGCTCAGTGGTGAAGTCATTTCCAAGGTTCATCGTTCAGCTGGGGAGTGGACAGCCCCATAAAACCAAATGGGACTAATGAGGGACAGCAGTCCAGGGACAAGGGCCAGAAGGCAGAAGGGGACAGGAAAGCTGGTGATAGGGAACCCAACGTTGAGTAAGGACAGTGTTGATGTGTTGTGAGGTTGTTAAACATTGTCATAGGGCAACATGTATACTAACTGTTAAATGTGAAACTATTCTGTTCTGTAAGCCTTCATCTAAAGTGAGAATAGCAGCACAATTGGAAGAGCATAGTCAATGTCACTGAACTGTGCATGTAGAAATTTTTGAAATGGTGTATCTTTGGCTATGTATATTTTCACCAAAAAAAAAAAAAAAAAAGGTTGAGAAGGGAGAGGGTTGACATGTTGTGGGGTTGTTAACCAATGTCATAAAACAATATGTGTACTACTGTTTCATGAGAAATTATTTGTTCTGTAAGCCTTCCCCTGAAGTACAATAAAAAAAAAAAGAAAGAAAGAAATCGCTGGTAAAATAACAGAAAAAAAAATTAAATTTAAAAAAGAGAGAGACTCCTATCCAGGCACCACACTGGTGCAACAGGTGGGACAATTCTGTTTGACAGCCACCCACGTGGAGGGCCCCAACTCACCTCTGTACCAGCTGCACAATGCTCTGGGTGTTCATGAAGAAGACCTCGCGGTCGGCCTTGCGCTGCAGAGTGGCTGCGTGGCAGTCTAGGATGGTGGCTATCTGGACAGAAAGACAGGACTGGCCACTCGCCACACAGAAGTCACTTGAAGGACCCCCCACGGCTCCTCTGGAGGCCCGTCCAAGGCTCATTTAGAGACCAGAAATTCCAGCTCTGCAGCCCATGGCCACCCAGAGACAACCCTGTTCGTCCCAGCTGAGCTTGTTGCTTGAGGAATTCAAGAGCTCAGCAGCACAACCATCACATGAGGACGTGTGTGCATTCAGGTTACACCTGGGCACAGGTAAGAATGGCTATGGGGAAAGGGGAGAAGGGAATTTCTGACCCAGTGAGAATGAGGGTGCTGGGTAGGGGGCGGGAGGTTTTCCAGTTTTTAAAGTTAGATTTAATGTGTTGGTGACTGTTTTGGGTAACAAAAATATTTTTAAAGAAGACAACCCTGTATCAATAACAAATCACTGAAAGGTCCAAACATGTACTTTTCTCAATTGGGGTGCTCTAGAGTTTTTTTTTTTTTTAATTGAGATATAATTTACGCACCATAATATGCCCCCAGGAGCACTGGTGGTGCAGTGGTTAAGAGCTGGGTTGCTAACCAAAGGGTTGGCAGTTCAAATCCACCAGCTGCTCTTTGGAAACCCTATGAGGCAGTTCTACTCTGTCCTATAGGGTCGCTATGAGTTGGAATCCACTCGATGGCAAGGGGTAATATATCCCTTCTTAAAGCGTACAATTTAGTGGTTTTTAATATATTCATACAGTTATGCAACCATCACCATTAGCTAATTTAGAACACTTTCATCACCCCAAAATGAAACCCCATACCCATTAGCAGTCACTCCCTACTTCTCCCTGACCTCAGCCCCGGGCATCCCCTAATCTACTTTCTGTCTCTACAGATTTGCCTACCAGGGGTATTCTGTCATACACTGTGTGGCCTTTTGCGTCTGGCTTCTTTCACTTAGCATAGTGTTTTCAAGGTTCATCCATGTTACAGCAAGTGTCAGTATGCCATTCCTTTTTTCTAGCTGAATAACATCCCATCCTGTACAGCTGCTGACCTTGGGAATGACCTGCGCTCGGCTGACTGCTAGCTTCCCCAACCACTAACATACCAACCAGACGGCAGCAGGGTAAACAGCGGCTCTGTTAGTGCAAACTACCTTTAAAATGCTTGATGAAAGCAACCGCAACCACGAAAATGAACAAAACGAGGCCAATGTGGAATTCTTGGAGATACTTTAATCCTACCCGGGAATGGCTGCCATTCTTAATACGGCCCCAAGCTTATCACGCCACAAAAACTAGGGGGAGAGAATCAAAGCTACAGACTGGGAAGAAAAAGTCTTTGTTTCCCCTGATTATTTCGGCCAGTTTTTTAGAAAATGCTCTATCTGCATGCATTGCTGCCTCCTATTCTGAATCTGAGTTTCATGGCGCAAAGCCTAAAGACTAATGTTCATCCAAGCAACTGCTGCTTTGGAGAAAATGCTGGGGGATTCTGCAGGGGAGGCTCAAAAGAGAACCTTAAGCCCCAACACCTGTGGTTGTAAGGGGGTGTCAGGAAGCCCAGCATGACCAGAGGTCGGGTCTCAAAGCTCCTGGGAGCCGCGTACCGAGGAGGACCTGAGCCCACGCGCGCACCTCGGTGGGTCTGGGGCGGGCCGGGGCACATACCTGCTGGCTGGGGAACTGGCACAGCACGGAGGTGATGTTGCTGGCGTACTGGGCCATCACCCTGCGCACAGCCTTCTCCACGGGGGCGGGGATGCGGCCTGACACACTGGTCATGATCTCCTGCAGCTCCAGCAGCGGCAGCGACGGGTGCCGGAGGGTCATCAGGAGCTTCTGCACCCACTCCTTCAGCTGTAGCAGGGACCATGGCATCACCCCCAGCCCTGCAGGGGTGTAGGCACCCCCACCCTCCACAATGTAACCCACCCAGGCCCCATGTACCCAAAGGTCTATACCCAGCAGCCTCCAGAACTCTCCAGGGTAGAATGCCCCCAGACCCTGAGCACAAGGGTGCCTTGGAAACACGCAGCTTCCCCGCACAGCAAGGCCCCGCTCCTCTCCACACATCCAGACAGCCAACGTGGATAGGGGATGTGACAAAAGGCCATATGAGGAGCTAATATTTGGTAGACACTTCTTAGTGCCAGGCACTGTTCTAAGGCCTTCATTTTTACGTCAGGTGATCCTCAGAAACTGCCCTACAAAGTAGGTGTAATTACTATTCCAATTCTACCTTGAGGAAACTAAAACAGAGAGGTTAAATAAACTACCCAAGGTCACCCAGCTTGTAAGAAGCAAAGCCAGGATGCAAACCCAGGTCTTTTAGCTCCAAAGACTCTTAACACCTGCACACTGCCACTGCCTGGGGTACTGCAGTAGATGAAATGTTGGCAGGCTTTGAATGAGGATTATTAGGGTGTCAAACCCATAGGATGGTTGTGAAGTTTAAAATTGAAACAATGCACATCACTGTGGCAAGTGCAAAGGCTAAATAAATGTTCCAATTGTAACAATCACAATTAGGCAGTATAGCATAGGGGTTGAAACATGGACTCCGAAGCCAGATGGCCATGGTTCAAATTCCAGCCCTATCTCTTCACGTGTGAGAGAAGGCAAATTTCTTAGCATCTCTGTGCCTCAGTTTCCTCATCTGTAAAGTGGTAATAATAACAGTCCCTATATCATAAGTTGTTGAGAGGATTAAATGACAATAAATTCTAACTGCTTAGAATAGTAGCTGGCACACACAGAATACGCTAGACAAGGCCTGGCTGCCATCACCATCATCATCACCACCATGACATGCTATTAAGAGATGGAATGAGACAGGCACGCAATGCTATCACTAGTGATGTCATCCTTAGAGTCACAGGTATTTCATGGAGGTCTGCAAGTTTTTCGTGTTTCTCTACAGAGTGAGTTGACAACAGGACCCTGGGACAGTGAATGATGAATAGAACTGTACTTCTGAACAAAGTGTGTTCCTCCTATTCTCATTAACAGGGCTGACTCACACGGACTCCTTTATTAACTTCCCACTTGAATATTCTCAGTCTTGAGCTGAACTGAACCACTAAATATGTAACTTTTTTTTATTTAAATGTAATTTTTACAACAGTTCGTAATCAGACCAAGGAATGTCATGAGAACAAGTCCTTTATTAAAACAACTTTTGTTCACTTGTTCCTTTACTTGAATTGGAGCCCCTGGGTGGTGCAAACAGTTAAGTGCTCGACTACTAACCATAAAGCTGGGGGTTCAAATCCACCCAGAGGTACCTCAGAAGAAAGGCCTGGCAATCTACTTCTAAAAAATTGGCCATTGAAAACCCTATGGAGCCCAGTTCTACTCTGACACACAAGGAGTCGCCATGAGTTGGGAATCAACTTGACAACAATGGGTTTTTTTGTTTGTTTTTTTTTTGCTTGTTTACTTGAATAAAGACCTCTGATCTCATGGAATAAACCCTTCTGACTCGTCACAGGGACCCACATGACTCACTTTGATGCTGAAAATAGGTTCTGGCAGACAATAGCCACTCATGACATTGGTCAAGTTTTCCAGGACGTTGTGAAAAACCTGGTGCAGTTTCTCTCCGAGGATGGGCAGAGTGGGCTGGGCAGGGAGCTCCCCAGTGAATGGCTCAGCCTGGTGAGAGACACGGAAATGAGAGGTCAAGAAACTGTGGGATCCCAAGCGACACGGGGTGATCTGCCACTTACAATGTTTAGCATAGAGCCGGAGAAAAAGCAGAAAACTGCACTGGGAAGATGAAATTGCTAAGCGCACACCCCTATGCGGGTTTTCCAAATCATCCCCTTTGCAAACATCATAGTACACTGTTTAGTACCCTATTATGGATTAAACTGTGTCCCCCAAAAATGCATGCTGTAAATCCTAAACCCCTATATATGTGGATGTAATCCCATTTGAGAGCAGGATTTTCTTTGTCATGTTAATGAGATCATATCAGTGTAGGGTGTGTTTTAAGCCAATTACTTCTGAGATATAAAAAGAGTAGATTAGGCACAGAGAAGGAAGCTACGTATAATAGGAGGGGAAGACACACGTCACATGAAGATTGTCAATGAACAGAGGAACAGAAGCTGAAAAGAGACAAGGACCTTCCCCCGGAGCCAACAGAGAAATAAAGCCTTCCCCTAGAGCTGGCACCTTGAATTCAGACTTCTAGCCTCCTAAACTGTGAGAAAATAAATTTATGCTCTTTAAAACCACCCATTTGGGGTATTTCTGTTATAGCAGCACTAAGAAACTAAGACATACTCAAATCAATTTTGGGCGGTTTAGACTTTTATGTTTCCTTTGCTTTGTAATGAAGACAATCTCTCTACTTAGTCCATTAATTTTCATTCTCTAGTGAATTCTAAAGATAAATACCTAGTAGGATGAAGACTGACGAAAACCTCATACAAAGGTACCTGATTTTTGTAAAACATAAACATTTAGCTTTAGATAATCAAACGAAAAATAAAAAGTTCCACAGAGGGGCAACACTGACTTAACATACCCATTCATCTATTCTCTCTACAAATACCCACTTAGCACCTGCTATGTGCAAAGCGGAGTTCCAGGGTGGTGCAAATGGTTAATGTGCTTGGCTGCTAACCAAAAGGTTGGAAGTTCGAGCCTATCCAGAGGCACCATGGAAAGAAGGTTGACAATCTACTTCTGAAAAACCACACCATTGAAAACCCTATGGAGAAGAAACTAGTCTACAGGACTAATAGCCTACATGAGCCATAGCCTCACCTACCCTGAGACCAGAAAAACTAGATGGCGCCCGGCTACCACTACCAACTGTTCTGATCAGGGTCACAATAGATGGACCCTGCTAAAGTAAAGAAAAATGCAGAACAGAACACAAATTCTTAAAAGGTCCAGACTTACTGGACCAGTTAAGACTAGAGGATTCCCCGAGACTATTGCCCTGAGATACTCTTTAAACCCAGAACCAAAACTATCCTGAGGCTATCTTTTAGCGAAATAACAGATTGGCACACAAAATAAAGGATATTTACCTGTGAGTACAGTGCTCCATTAAAAAACCATGAGACCAAAAGGTCAACACTTACTCTAAAGCAAAGATGAGAAGGTAAGGTGGCAGGGAAACTAGAGTACTGGAAATAGAACAACCAGAACGCAATTAAAGAGAATGTTGCCACACGTGAAAAAGGTAACTAATATCACTGAACAATTTGTGTAGAAATTGCCAAACGGGAACCTAATTTGCTGTGTAAACTTTCACTGAAAACACGATAAAATACTATTTTAAAAAAAGAGAAGAAAAGAAAAGAAAACCCTATGGAGCATAGTTCTACTCTGACATACTAGGGTTGCCATGAGTTGGAATCAACTTGACAACTGTAATGTGTGAGGCACCATATCCTGGAAGTTTGGGACATGCTGTTCTCCTGGCCTGCCTCCCCAGTCCCATGGGTTCCTCTTACTCTTCGAGAACTGACTCGAGGTTTTCCTCTATGATCTGATGCTCACTTTCCCATCTGCGTCCCCAAAGCCTGGACCAAAGGCAGCTCCTCTTACTGCATTTAGCCTTGAATGACAAGGGCTTGTCTGCCTGTCTGACTCACAGGCACAGGCAAGCCTGCAGTATCTCAGTGCTGGGGCCCGGTCTCACTGACCAAGCACAGGAAATGTCCTCTGGGAGGGCTCCCAATGCAGGCACACAGACCTTCCCAGTGATCCAGAAAGGCTCAGTCTGTGTCTAGCTTTGGGAACCCCCTAAAGAAAATAACAAGAAAAATGAGAAGAAAACACACGAAACTAACAGAATTTTCTGGAGAAAAGAGACAATTAGCTTTGTTTCAGAGCAGACGTACTAATTATTAAGAGATTCATACATTCAAACATATACGAATGGCTAGCTACCTCCCCGTATGCACAGCTTGCTTAGAAGGTCTAAACATCATTCAAGCACAAATGGTTAAGCACTCGATGACTACCTGAAAGGCTGGCGGTTCAAACCCACCCAGAAGCACCTTGGAAGACAGGCCCGGTAGCCTGTTTCTGCAAGGTCACAGCCTTGAAAACCCTATGGAGCAGTTCTACTCTGCACACATGGGGTCGCCATGAGTCGGAATCGACTCTGTAGCAACACCACCACCACCACTATGCCCCAAGCGCTGTGATAAGTAGCAAGAATGCAACAGTGAACAGTAAAGGGAGTTCTTAACCTCAGCAAACTCAGTGCAATGGTAAAGCAAAACAAACGCTGAAAAATTAACAAGAATCTAAACTGGAGGTCCCCCCTTGAGCTTGAGTTCACAGTCACACAACAGACACTCTGGTACACCCTCTGCTGGTCCCGAGGGCAGGGCGCTGCCCATGTGGCACCTGGAAATCTGTATATTCACCCAACAAATATTTATGGAGCACCCACAACGTGTCAAAACCTGTGTGAAGCACTGGGGATCTAGCTGTGATAGAGACAGATGAAAAAGCACTACACAGTGCTTACAGTCTACCGAGGCCATGTGACTAACAAACACCACACCAGTGACACAGAGTCTCCTGATGATGACAAGTGCTGCAGAGAAAAATACAGCGGAGCAGGAGGACAGGGAGTGTGAGACGGTGTGGGGGTGTGTGTGTGTGTGTGTGTGTGCTATTTTAAACAGGGTGGTCGAAAGAGGAGCCTAAGGGGACATGACAACTATGGATGATGTACTATCCTGGGTGGGATCTTGAAACAGAAAAAGGACATTAGGTAAAAACTAAGGAAATCGAAATAAAGTATGAACTTTACTTAACAATGGTGCATCAATTGTGGCTCCTTAATTGTGACAGGTGTACCATTCTAATGTCAGATGCCACTAATAGGAGAAACTGGGTGTTGTGTCTAGGGGACTTCTCTGTACTATCTTTGCAAATTTTTGTATAAATCTAAAACTGCTCTAACAGTTTATTTAACAACAACAATAAAAAGGCAGTCGGGAAGGCCTCACTGGGGAGATGACATTTGAGTAAAGCTCAAAGGAGGTGAAAGGGCAAACCCTGAAAATGTCTGGGGAAGGTCCTTCCAGGCAGAGGGAACAGGTCTTAAGGTGGGAGGGGCCTGATGGGCTCAATTAAGCAGGGGAGAGAGAGAGAAGATGAAGCCAGAGAAGCAACCAGAGCACAGCTCATTTGGGCTCTTGTCAAATTCTCATCTTCCATGCAGGAGACCCGGGTTCGATTCCCAGCCAATGCACCTCACGTGCAGACATGACTCGTCTGTCAGCGGGGGGCTGGCATGTTGCTATGATGCTGAACAGGTTTCAGTGCAGCTTCCAGATTAAGACAGACTAGGAAGAAAGACCTGGTGATCTACTTCCGAAAATCAGCCAGTGAAAACCCTATGGACCACAACGGTTCGATCCGCAGCTGATCCTGGGTATGGCACAGGACGGGGCAACATTTCATTCTTTTATACATGGGGTCACCGTGAGTTAGGGGCCAACTCCATGGCAGCTAGCAACAACAAGGCTGTCAAAGGAACTCGGGTTTTACCCTAAGGGGGACAGACAGCTGCTGAGATGGACTTGAGCAAAGGGAGAACGGACCACACTGTGGTGCTGGCTGCTGGGTTGTGTGTAGTCTGAAAGGGGCAGGTGGAGGCAGGAGAATGGCTGGGAGTCTCAAGCCTCTGTTCCTCACTGGAAAGGTGGAAGGCATGAGCGGACCTGACCAGCGGGGCGATGGAGCCGGGCGTCACGTACCGGGTGCACTTTGGAAGGGTCATCGAGCTCCAGCCTGGCCACCACGCAGCCCGCTTCCAGCATGGCTCCTGGGCGCTTGATGTACTTCACCTGGCCACTCTCCTGTACGGTCAGGGTCATGATCATCTTCATCACCTGTTTTGCAGAAAGAAGAAATAAGAGAGCGCCTGCCAGGACTGGCCTGAGTGTGTTTAACACCCAATGTCACCCAGAGCTAGGGACTCAGGAGTAAGAACTGCGTCGTTTAAACAAAATGAACTCCTAGCAGAGTTCAACCAGAAAGGACAGTGGGAACCAGCATTCTTGGAAGCCTACTATGTGCCAGGCACAGTGCTTTCCATGAATAAACTCAATCTTCAAAGCCAGCCCCGAGGCAGGGATTTATTATCCCCATTTTACAGACCAGGAAACTGATAGTAATTTCCAAAATAAAGCCTCTCTCTTAGAAATACAGCAATAAATCACATTACGTAGGGTGACTGATACGCATGTTCCTAAAATGTGGTGTGTGAATCAAATGTTTTGTGAAAGGCTCCTATCTTAAAGGCACCAAAAAAACCAAATGGGGAATCATCTTGTAAAATGAAGAGTCTGCTTGCAGTACAATCATCAGCCCCTTTAACTTGCCTTCTCTGAGTGTCTGGATATATGAGGGTAATGCATTTTGTTACATGGTGCTAGCTACAGACAGACTACAGACAGACGCCAGGACTGCGCTGCCTCTTGCTTAGTGGTTCCGGAGCTTGGAAGCCAGAGTCAGCCACGCAACCCCACCACTCATCACTGCTGTGGTCTCTAGGAAGTACTTTCCCCTCTCTTAGCCTCAGTTTCCCCAATTATAAAATGGGAATAATGACAGGATCACTTCACAGTGCTCTTATAAGCATTAAACAAGATAAGAACCTGGCACAGAGCAGGAGGTAAATAAACATTAGTGACTATTGTTGCTATATTTTAATTGCCATTATCATTACTATCTTCTTTGGGAGCACGGAATGGAGTCCAGGTTTGAGTCTTGGCTTTGTATGACCTCAGGCGAGTTCCTTAGCATGCCTGGACCCGGTTTCTTCATGTGTAAAATGGGGATCATATTTGTGCCCACCTCATAAAGTTGCTAGGAAAATTAAAGAAGATAGGTAAAATGTTTAGTACAGCGACTGCCACGTGGTAATGGCTTTTTAAGTGTTGGCTTAATGCTTTTTAATCGTCACCATCATTATTATTAACCAGTCCTTACTTGTTCTTAGAAGGTGTGCGTTTTGGAGTTTTCCCTTTGAATATTGTAGGGAATTTGGGTTGAACCATACACACTCAATCTGTCTGTGTTAGGAATTGGCAAACAGCGGCCAAGGTGAGTGAGACCTGTTGTTTTCTTGGATACAGAAGCAATACCAATGACTCTCTCTTGGGGAGGAGGTTGAGGGTGGCCACAGGCTCCACATCCTCCAAGAGAGAGCCCCAAGGGCCACTCTGCAGTCACCTCCATCTCAGCATAGCTGCTCCCAGCCTCGACATGGCCCCCATCCTCCACCGTGTACTGTATCAGCTTCCCAGCCGAGGGGGATCTCAGGACCGTTGGGTCGTTCTCCTTCTCAAACACACACGTCTTGTTGCCGATGGTAACTCGGTAACTGGAAGAGAGGAGGAGTGGGGGCATGGAGGTCAAGATGCCTATTAATCCAGTAAGCCTGAGTCAGGCTTTCAACAATATTTTATGTTGCCTAAAGGCAGCCATAACCATAAGTGTCACCCTCTGTGTGGCTTCAGGGAGTCTGTATTCCCAAATAGTGGCATTTGATAGTTATCACAAAAACTCCTAGAACTAATAAGCAACTATAGCAAGGTTGCTGGATACAAGGTTAACATACAAAAGTCAACTGCCTTCCCATATACCAGCAATGAACAATTGGAATTTGAAGTTAAAAGCACATCATTTACATTAGCACTAAAATAAATAAATACTTAGGTATAATTCTAACAAAATATGTACAAGATCTATTTGAGGAAAACTACAAAACTCTGATGAAAGAAATCAAAGAAGATCTAAATAAATGGAGAGATAGTCCATGTTCGTGGATAGGAAGACTAAATACTATCAAAATGTCAGTTCTACCCAGCATGACCTGTAAATTCGATGCAATCCCTGTCAAAATCCTAGCAATTTATTTTGTGGATATTGACAAACTGATCCTAAAGTTTACATGGAAAGGGAAAAGATACAGAAGAGTGAAGAACAGCGCCGGAGGATTAACACCATCTGACTTCAAGACCTAGTAGCCCCGGTCCAATTTGGCCCCCCATTCCAATGTGTGTATTGAACTGAGAGTGTGACAGAGATCAGAAGACACACTCTAAAAGGCACTCCAACCTGTACATATTTTGGGATATAAGATAGCAAGAAATGCAGGAATATTTATCGCAACATTACTTACAATAATAATAAAAATCAGAATCTAACTACCCAATAGCCTCCCAATGGACTAGTCTAGACCGGTACTGTCCAGTCAGGTAGCTCCTAGCCACATGTTGCTACAGTGATGAAGACAGTGTGGTGTTGTCAAAAGAACAGACCAAATAGATCAATAGAACAGAACAGAGAGCCAGAAACAGAGCACACAAATACAGTCAACTATCTTTGACAGTTATCAGAGAGAGTTTGGGAGTGAGTTGGGTGAGCAAGGGATGTGACCCTTTTCTGGCAGAAAGCTAGTCCCTTTTGCTGACATAATTCCAACAGGCCCTGGCACAGAGAAGGCAATCAATAAATATTATTCAGTAAGTATTGACTGAGAGTCTTTACCTTATAACTGAACTGGGGAGGGCATGTACCACTGGTGGGGAATATAATAATCTTGAGCATTTTTGGCAGATAATATTCATGGGTTAAAAGGAGGTAACATTTATGGGTTAAAAGGAGATAATAAGACACTGCTCTTGTACAAATCAAATCTACCTTCTTCCAAACCATCTAGGACTGGGACGGGATGGAGTCTTACTTTCTAACTGGAGCCCTTTCAGGCACGAGGGAGGCCTGTGGCACGAGCTTATTCTCCCTGGCCAGGATTTGTGCTGCCCTGCCCAGGAGGCCAGCAGGGTCACTTCCATTCCATGTGCCATCTCAGAAGGCCTGGCCAGACACATTGGGACTGGAGGGTCTCTGGGGCCCATTCATGATGCCCCCAGCTAAGCGCTGCCACAGCATCCTGTATCTCATCCATCAGGGTGCACGGCGACCTTCCAGCCGCGGTTTGCTTGTTTAATGTGTCAGCCTTCCCCGACAGGCTATAAGCTCCCTGAGTAGTGACTGCAGTGTTATCCCAACACCTTGCCCAGTGCCTGGTAGGGAGCTCAATAAACAGCTGCTGCATTAACCAGATGAATGCATTAGTCAAGCCTGTCCTGCAATGGTGTGGACACTGCACTTTGTCACAGACCTCGTAAGCAGCAGAGTTGGGGGTCATGCCCTATTCAGCTCTAATTCCTTCCACGTTGCTAGAAAAGCACCTCCTGGGAAACTTCCATAGATATCTGTCATAGAGTGGAATCCCAGCCAAGGAACCAATCTCTCCATGTGCCCCAGAATTGACCAGAGAAGGTATCTCATCTAACATCCTGGGGTCCGCACACACTCTGGCCTTGTATTTTCAACTCTCGCGGGAGGAGCTGGCTCTGTGTGTCAGCCGCGGGGGGATGGCACCCATGCGTACCTGTCCATCTCTTCTTTCATGTAGGTGGTGTAGCTGTTCCCATTGTAAGACAGCAGCAGCCCGCCATCGTTCAGCCGGTGGGCGTCGATCTCGATGTGACAGCCGTTCATGATGAGCACGAACATGGTCAGAGACTGGCGGGCCACCTGTGGAGACAGGCTCGATGTTACCCCCTGGATGTGGGAAGCCTGCTGGTCCCTGGGCTTTCAAAGCCCCACCTGGCTCCTCTGCTAGTGGAAGGGCTAGCTGCCCTCTGCAGGAGTGCTGGGGTAGACGCCTCCACCTCTCTAGCCCCTGCCCTAACTCACCCCATGGGAACAGCTCACGCGGCTGGAGACACCCTGGAGCTGGTGAGCCACACCTGTCCATGGGGAAGCTAATGGCTGCAGACGTGGTGCCAGCCCAGCCATCACCCCTGACTAGGTGCCCTCGGGGCCTGGAGGCTTCCTTCTGATTTCTGTCTCCCAGCATCAGCCCGCCTGAGCGGGGCCACCCTGTGTGGCAGGGAGGGGGTTCACCGTGGGTGAGACAGCCCTAGACACTCTGCCAGTGGGCTGGAAGTGGACCAGGTCCTGCTCCCCAGGCCTAGTCCACCCAGGGTCCTACAGAGATTTGGGATGGAAGTGAGGGACACACATGGTCAGGGCTCAGCCTTGGCTCTACGTTTCAATCCAGTTGAAGCACTGGCCCCACTTGGCCCTCCATTCAATGTGTGTACTGAACTGAGAGTGTGGCAGAGATCCACAAACACTCTAAAGGCCCCTGTTTATGCTGTTGTGTGCCATCCAGTCGATTCCGACTCATAGCAACCCATGTGACACAGCAGTACTGCCCCAGGGGGTTTTCTAGGCTATAATCTTTAAGAAAGCAGATCCCCAAGTCTTTCTCCCATGGAGTTGCTGGTGAGTTCAACTCACCGACCTTTGAGTTAGCAGCCAAGCACCTGACCACTGCACCAAGAGGGCTCTTTCTTAAGGGCCCTAACCCATTGCCATCGAGTCGATTGTGACTCACAGCTACCCTACAGGACAGAGTAGAACTGGAGTGCCTGGTGGGTGCTAACCGCTGACCTTTTGGTTAGCAGTCGAGTGCTTAACCATTGTGCCACCTCTCTAAAGGGCCCTACAACCTATAAAATACATATTTTGGGACATAAGATAACAAGTAATACAGGAATATTTATCTCAACATTATTTATAATAACAATAAAAATTAGAATCAAGCTAACTAACAACCGTGCAATGGAATACTCTAGACCTGTACCGTCCAATATGGTAGCTCCTAGCCACCTGGTGGCGTAGTGGTTAAGAGATGGCTGCTAACCAAAAGGTCGGCAGTTCGAATCCAACAGCCGCTCCTTAGAAACCCTGTGGAGCAGTTCTACTCTGTCCCATAGGGTCGCTATAGGGTCACTATGAGTCAGAATCGACTCAGCGGCACCTTACAACAACAGCCACCTATGGCTACTTAAATTAAAATTAATTAAAATCAAATTTAAAATTCAGTTCCTTGGTCACACTAGCCACATATGTGAAGTGTTCAATAGCCCCATGTGCCCAGTGGCTACTGTACTGGAGAGTGCAGATTTGGAACATTTCCGTCACTGGAGAAAGTTCTATTAGATAGTGCTCCATAGATGCTAAACTTACGTTAGAGAAAAATTATTACAGGAAGGGACAGGAACTGGTCGAATGGACAACAGGGAACCTGGGTGGAAAGGGGGAGTGTGCTGTCACATTGTGGGGATTGCAACTAATGTTGGAAAACAATATGTGTAACAATTTTTATACAAGAAATTAACTTGAGCTGTTAAAATTTCACCTAAAGCATAATTAAAAAAAAAAGAGGAAGATACCCCTGACCAGTGAATATAAAATAGTGAAACATTTCTCATCCTGTTTCACTTTTATTCATAACATTAAAAAAAAAAAAAAAAAGAACACAGGCAAGAAAACCTTATGGAGTTGTTCTACTCTGTAACACATGGGGTTGTCATGAGTCGGAATCAACTGGACAGCAGAATAAAATAACAACAGACAATAATCTGGGTAGTGCAAACGGTTAATATGCTTGGCTGTTAACTGAAAGACTGGAGGTTCGAGTACATCCATAGACTCCTTGGAGCATAGACTCCTTGGAAGAAAGGTCTGGCAAACTACTTTCAAAAAACCAGACACTGAAAACCCTATAGAACACAGTCCTGCTCTGACACACAAGGGTTGTCCTAAGTTGGCGTAGACTTGATGGCAACTGGTTAATAATCTACGAGATGATGAAATGAGATTCTTCCCTCAAAACCACTCTAATGTCTGGTATATAGTCACTGAAAATGTTCTTTGGCTCTTTTTCTTAAAGAAAAAATTATTAACAACGTGTGGACACTTTATGCCATAATTACATGAAGCAGTAAAATTGTACTCGCTCATGATCTCAACTTTGTAAAATCAATGCATTGGGAAAAATGATAACTGAAAAGAGATCTGCTCAAATGTTAATGGGGGATGCCTCTAGGTGTCAATACCCAGTGGATGGGTTTTTCTGATTCTTTATCCTGGCTTGAAATTTTCTACAGTGAGCATCTACATTTAAAATCAAGTTTAATGGTGGTAGAACGATCTGGAAAAGAATAGCAAAACTGGTTGCACAGCTTGAATGTAATCGATGTCACTGATTTGGACACGTAGAAATTGTTGAGCGATGTTATGTTTTATCATATACATTTTCACTACAATAAATAAAATAAAGTAAAAAAATAAATAAAAATCGAGTTGGGGGGATCCAGGTCCCCAAAGGTAGCCAAGAAGAATTGGGCCAAAAGGGCAACGTTTTCAGAATATGTCCCCCATGGCCAACACTCACATTTGGCCGAACTGATCCTGAAAAGCTCCAAAGCTGAAAGTTCAGTATGTGCTCAGTTATAAAAATAAGGAAAAAGAAAATAAAAATTCTGCTTCAGAGGCAAACTCGAATCTGTCCTCTTTTCCCTCCCCAGAACGCGAGGCTGGGAAGAGCTGGGCAGGGCCAGGCTTGCTGGGGACACTTTGCTCCTTCAGCTGCACTGGAGCCCGGGGCACCAATGCCAGGTCTCGCTCATCCCGATGTGAGCCTTGTGCTGTACCTGTATATCCAGGTGTTCTCTGACACTCTCTGCTTGAATTGCCACCGGATGGCCCCGTAAGAGTAACTAGATACTTCCGACAGTGGAAAGCAACTCTGAGTAAACTCTGGGGGTGCCAGTGGTGGACCAGGGAAGAGACCAGAAACCCCATGTGGACTCATGTCCAGAGACGTGGAACAAAACCAGCTGCACGGCTCTTGGAGACAGATCCAGATGGCTACGCTGGCGCAGTAAAGCCCTGCCACGCTGTGTTGTGTCCTCTGCGTATTGCTCGGCCCTACATGTCCTGACACCCAAGTGTTTAGACTTCAAGGTCACGGGGCTGTATGGGAAGCACTGGGGAGCATGAATGTTTAGACCCAAACGTGAGAAATCCCTTCCATGGACGGTTCCTGGAAGAAATCAAACAAACAACTCAAACCTCCAAGGTTGGAGACACCAGAGAAACACAGGGACCCTTACCTTGAGAATATACTTAATGCCTCCGTAAATTAACTCCACATCCACAATGTTCAGCAGAGAATCTGCTGGGAGAACCTGGCCCCTGAAAGAGAAGACAGGCCTATGGTCACCTTGGGAAGGACCGAGAACTCTGGAGCCTTCACCTTGATTGAAAAAAGTCCCCCAGCTCTTGGCCTTTTCTAAGCACTAATGAACTGGATTGTACTAAAGAAACAAAACCTCATTAAAAGGCAAGGAATTCAAAGGCAAGGATGTGGAGAAATTGGAACCCTCATCCATTGCTGGTGGGACTGTAAAATGGTGCAGCCGCTGTGGAAAGGTTTGGCAATTCCTGAAAAAGTTAAACATTGAACTACCATATGATCCATCAATTCCATTCCTAGGTATATACCAAAAAAAAATTGAAAGCAGGAACACAAACAGACACATGTAGACCAATGTTCACTGCAGCACTATTCACAATAGCCAAAAGGTGGAGACAGGCTAAATGTCTATCAACAGATGAATAGACAAAGAACATATGGTACATACATACAATGGAATACTACTCAGCCATAAAGAGAAATGACCTTCTGATGCAACCTATAGCATGGGTGAACCTTGAAAACATTATACTGAGTGAAATAAGTCAGTCATAAAAGGACATATATTGTATGATCCCGCTTATATGAAATATCTAGAATAGGGAAGTGTATAGAGACCAAAGCTCATTAGTGGTTGCCAGGGGCAGACAGGATGGAGGGGGAAAGAAGGACACAATGCTTAGGGGACACTAAGTTTCTGTTAATTAATGAAGGGTGAGGGAAAAATTTAGGAACAGCTAACGGTGATGGTTGAACAATATGCTGAACCTAATTAATGTCACTGAATTGTACATGTGAAGACTGTTGCAGTGGCAAATGTTTTATACGTACATATTTTATCTCACACACACACACACACACACACACACACACACACACACACACACACACACGCATACAAAGGCAAGGACATGGAAAATCCCAAGGAAGTGGCCATTTCTCAGAACTTATAGAAATGGCAGCTGCTGAAGGAAGTGAAATTTTAAAAAGGCTTTTCAGGAAGCAAAAGCTATAACGGTTTCTTCTCGGGAAGCTTCCATAGTTGGGGATTCTAGGAATGACACCAGGGCTCAGACTGACTCTGTGCCATTCAGGCACCTGATACCCAAGTGCTAAAAACGTCAATCCCTTTGTTTTCTTTTTTGCATTTTACTGCCTACTGCAGTGGTTCTCAATAGGGGTGACTGTGGCCCCCAGGGGACATTAGCCAGTGTCTGGAGAGACATTTTTGATTGTCATGACTTGCAAAGAAGAGCTTGCTAATGGCCTCAGTGGGCAGAGGCCAAGGATGCTGCTCAACATCCTCCATGCCTCGGCTGGCCCCCCACAACCAAGAGCGACTCTGCCTAAAATCTCAATCATTAGGCTGAGGAACCTGGCCTCCCCTAACAGGGAGCACCTGGTCACTTTCCATTCTAATCTGTTTCACCAGTCACCTTCTGAGTCAGGTGAGGGTCTGGGAAAGCAACCACCATACAGGTGATCTTTAACCCACTTTGCTTATCAAATCCACTTCCTTCAACTGTGAACTCCTGAGTGTTAGGATATAACTTACACAAGCCAGCATGAATCAGCAGACGACTGTGCTGTGGGCTGCTGCCTTGGCCTTGAGATCCAACCCCCTCCCCCCAGTCTTCCAACGACATCCCCCCACCTCTCCACCCCCCTCTTCTAAGGAATTCCACATAGGCAAGCATGCAGGAGGGCTTCACTAATCGCCTGGTGACTGGCACCTAAATAAAGCATGTCTTGCCTTTCTCGTGGAGCTGACACCTATGATAAGGGGGAAGAAAGTTACCCACATGCCCTACCTTTCAAGTGAGTGTAAGAAATCCGTCATGCAGGTTCTGAACATGGCATCTGCCACATTCAAGGCTCCGCACACTACCCCGAGCATGACATCCGGTTTCTCGGCCTGGGAAAGACTGTGCTTCAGTACCCATGGCAACCACATCCCCAGGGCAGCCAGGGGTCCTCGAAACCCTGAGGGGAAGCCCTGCGGGGAAGCACATGCAGCCTCTTACCTGTACTTTCTGGGCGATGAGGTGGTCTAACCACTCATTGTCGATGTCGTTGTTCTGGAAGCTCTCGGTCTCCAGGAGGTTAATGAGATACTCCACGGTGGTCCTGAAGTCTCCCCGGATGGACAATTCCTTCAAAGCCATCACCATGTTCCTGGAGGGGAAACGCACATTTTTCCAGTTTAACATACGTGTCAGCCAATCTCCTACGACTGCTTTTATGACGATTCAGTTCTTAGAGAGCCAGAAAAGCCCAGTAGTTAAGGGAGGGCATTAAGGCAGACAGCTGGGTGGCAACCTGAGCTCCCCCATTTACTGGCCATGTCATCTTGGGCAAGTGACTTAACCGCTCTGAGCCTCAGTTTCTTCATTTGGAAAATGGGGCGATAGCCCCAACTTCTGTCTGAGGATTCAAAGGAGACAATTCATGTAAAGCACGAGGTAACTGAACAATAAATAATAGCGGCTATGAACATGATTAATTACCATTATTCCAATTATTGTTAACCACCACCAGTCTCTCTATCTCTCTCCTCCATTTAACCTATTCAAATCTCCCCATGTCTCCAGAGCTGATGTTGCCCTCTCAACGGCCGGCCGCACAGCTATTCTGCCAGGTGTGTGCGGGGGTGCACTTGTGAACAGGTGGCACTGTTATCTCCCTCCCAAGGGCATGGCAATCACCAGACCACCAGCTGGCATGTGCTTGGCTGATAACAACCTATCACCCCACCACTACCACCTCAAAGAGCCCCACTCCAAAGGCCTACACCTCCACTATCTATGGAGTCTGAACAAGAGTGTTTTGGGAGGAAATGCATCAAATAAAGGCAAGCCAAAAAAAAAAAAAAAAGAGAAAGGCGAGCCATTAGAATGCATCTCTTCCAGGGAGCAGGAAGCATTCACATCTGTTAAGAGTTCCTACTTGTCAAATTCTCATGGACTCCAGACTTTCCGGAGCCATAAAGTGTGCATAAACCCCTGAAACTATTGCCCTGAGATCATCTTTAAACCTTAAGCCAAATATCCCCTAAAGTCTTCTTAAAACCAAACAATAGCTTAACTAGGAAAGAATGTCTGCCTTGAGCATTAGGCTCTTTAAAGAACTATCTATATGGGATCAAACTGACAACAGCAACTCAAAAAGTTAAACAGGAACCTTAGCGGGCAATGAGTTTATGTTAATGGGGGAGGAACAACTCAAAAGGAAAGTGAGAATGGTCACACAACTCAAGGAATGCCATCAGTTTCACTGAATAGTACAGGCAGAAACTGTTGAACTGGTGTTATGTTTTGCTGTGTATATTCTCAACAACAACAAAATGAATAAAATTTAGGGGAAAAATCAAGAAAACAAACAATAGTTTAGCTTAACTAGTAAAGAATGTCTGCGTTGAACATTGTGCTCCTTAAAGAACTATCTATAAGACATCAAACCGACAATAGCAACTCGAATTTCTGTTAATGGGGGAGGAACAACTCAGAAAAGGAGGGTGAGAATGGTCGCACAACTTGAAGAATGTAATCAGTGTCACGGAATTGTACAGGTAGAAATTGTTGAACAGGTGTATATTCTGCTGTGTATATTCTCAACAACAACAAAAATAAAATAAATTATTAAAAAAAAAAAAAAAGAGTTCCTACGTGGTGTCAGCAGGTGTAAAGAAGGAAGAATTACTGACTTCACTTTGGGGTGAGAAGGTCAAATGGTGGTTAATAGGGTATGAAAAGTCAGTTGTGGGGCCGGAACCTGGACCTGAGAGCTAAGCCGTTGGGTTCTAGGGCTCTAAAAAAATTCCTGTTCTTTAGTACTTTCCCAGTTTTAGCACCAAAAAGTCCCACGTCTGGGAAACCCCTCAGTCCCAGGAAAACCAGGACAGAGGGTCACCCTATTGGACTCTGACCAATAGCAATACAAAAAGCTGGAATTGTTTCCACTGAATTCTGTTGAGTTGTGACTGGTCATTCACAGCATGGGACAAGCCACAGGTCATTGCATTCGGAGTGGGCAGGGCTGGGCTGACCCACTCCCCACCTCCTTCTAGTAAGCCTTGCTTGCTGCAATCCTCCATAAGCTTCAAGGATCTCCACTGTTCACGAGCATGATTGAAATTAATAGTTCTCAGCTGGCAAAGAAAGCCCACTCATCAAAACCACCAAACTCCGTTTAATTCATGGCTAAGCATCCCAGGCCAGATTGTAATGCTTTTTAAATGAAATGTCCATCATGCCTTTGGGATCCTTCACTCTAAAGAGCACTTACCCATCCACACAAGAATGTTTAATTAGAAAGGGAACAGTTTTTTACATTTTTGAGCCATGTCAAGGAAGGAGAAATGTAAGATATGAATGTTTCAGAATTTGGGGGTACCCTTTGTGGGTTTCTCAGCTCTACAGAAAGCATGGCAAGTGTGGACTTATCTGGGCTGGGGAGAAGCAGACTGCTGTCGCAGGCCTCTGCATGGTGGGCAGTTCATAGCAGACATAGTCCTGGAAAACTTGGGCATGAAACATGGCCTTGGCGAGAACTATGTCTGAGGTTTAAATTTAAAGCAGTCCCTTTTTTAAAAGGTATAGTCCTCAGCACCTTTTAAACTTTCGGAATCACCTTGAGTAATCTTTGGACCTCCTTCCAGTTAAACTTCTAAGAAGTCAAGGCTAAGTGACCTCGGGTGGGCTCCTTAACTTTGTGGTTCTCAAATACAAAACAAGGGTAGACTTGAGTCTTGGAATTTAAGCCCAGGTTATTTCAAATAGGGTCTGTCCTGTGGTTCTCCTCCCTTGGTCTCCTAAAGGGCTACTGCATCTGAAGGCACAAGCTAACTGTTAGTTCAAAAGAAGGAAGGAAGGACAAGAGATACTGACGAAATGGCCTCTTCCCGGTTCTCTCCCCAGGAGAAGCAGTGCCCAAACTGGGAGTCGGCGAACTCATGTAAGCCACCGGCAGCAGCCACACTGAAGTAACCCCACACGTTCTTGTTGCTGCGGAAATTCAGTTCCTGGACCGTCCCGGAGCTTGGCTTAAAACCCTGGAGCCCACACAGAGGAAGCAAAAGAGAAGAAATCATTACTCCAGATATGGTTGTCATTGTTGGTAAGCTGCCATCACGTCAGCCTCAACTCATGGTGACCTCACGCACAACCGAATGAAACACTGCTCGTTCCTGTGCCCTCTCCACGACTGGCTGTAGAAGGGACCACTGGGATCCACATGGTGTTCACTGGCTGATTTTCAGAACTAGATCACCTGGCCTTTCTTCCTAGTCTGTCTTAGTGTGCAAGCTCCGCTGAAACTTATTCAGCATCATAGAAACATGCCAGCCTGCACAGACAGGTGGTGGCTGCACATGAGGTGCACTGGCCAGGAATGGAACCTAGGTCTCCTGCACGGAAGGCGAGAATTCTACCAACGTTCCCATCCTCCAGATATAGTCTCATCAAAATTAAGTCCCAGAAGGTGAGGAAAACTTTTGGACAAAGACCACTGTGATGATTGCACAATATGGTGAATGTAATCAATGTCATGAATCATATAGTTACGAATGGTTAAAATGGCTAATTTTTTGTTACATATATCTTACCACAATAAAGTTTAAAAAAAACTGATTACCAGGAAACCTAAAAACCCCTACCCACAATCAGAAGCGTAGGGTTCAAAAAAGAAAAAAAAAAAACAGCAGACAAGGCCCAGTAGTCCATGTTGTGGGTGATCAGTAAAACATTCATGTTTCTTGATAGGGGTGTGGGTATATGTAGTGGGTGCATCTGTATGAGTACAAGCAGTCCCCAGCTTATGTACAACCCACGCTCTTCACTTAAAACATTTTTTTTATTGTGGTAAAATATATATAACAAAACATTTGCCATTTCAGCCATTTTTAATGGACAATTCAGTGACATTAGTTACCTTCACTATGTTGTACAACCATCACCACTGTTTCCAATTTTTTCATCACCCTTACTGCTCTTCACTTTTATTTAAACTTTTTATTGTATCAAATGTGTAAAATGTCAAATGTATAAAATCGGAATAGTATCATGAATCCCTGGGACCTTCACCCAGCTCCAGCAGTTACCAACATTCTCCTACATTAGATCTGCACCTACTATGCCTGACCACCAAACCTGTTGCCATCGAGTCAATTCCTACTCTTAGTGACCCTATAGGACAGAGTAGAACTACCCCATATGATTTCCAAGGAGTGGCTGGCAAATTCGAACTGCCGACCTTTTGGTCAGCAGCCGTTGTAGCTCTTCACCACTGCACCACCAGGGCTCCGATATGAACCCAAGGGTGTATTATTCAACAAGCAAGGTAAGCATAGTGCTTACCTTGCTTACCAGAGCATCTGTAGTGAACCATTTCACATTTTTTCACCACATCAAATATCCTGCTTCTAGGTATGGCTAGTATCTCTCTCCAAGCCCCACAGCACCTTCCTACAGAATCAAAGCCTCTTTTCAAATTTACAGTCCCTGACATGGGCGGATAACCCTGTAAGCGAGGATTAGTAAGTAAGCACAAGTAAGCCTGTGCTTACCTTGCTTACTGGGTCATCCGCCCCTGTATGAACCATATCTAACTGTTCCGACTTGTGTATAAATTCAACTTAAAGACATACATAGGAATGAAACTCATTCATAATCCAGGGACTGCCTGTACTTCAATCTACGTAATTTTTACCCTAAAAAATAACAACCAATTTGCATAGAGACCAAAGCTTATTAGTGGCACCAACAGTGGGAGGGAGGAGAAAAGGCAGAGTCATTGCTCAGGGGCCATTGGGCTTCTGTTAATGGCGGTGAAATAATTTGGAAAAGGACAGTGGTGAAGTCTGCACAAAATGAAGAATGTAATCAATGTCACTGAATTGTACACGTAAAAAATGATGAATTGGCAAAAGTCTTGTTATATATATTTTTACCACAATTAAAATAAAAAAAAAAAGATTTGAGGGCAGGAGCAGTAGGTGCAGATCTAATGTAGGAGAATGTTGGTAACTGCTGGAGCTGGGTGAAGGTCCCAGGGGTTCATGATACTATTCCAATTTTATACGTCTGACATTTTACACATTTGATACAATAAAAAGTTTAAATAAAAGTGAAGAGTAGTAAGGGTGATGAAAAAATTGGAAACAGTGGTGATGGTTGTACAACACAGTGAAGGTAACTAATGTCACTGAATTGTCCATTAAAAATGGCTGAAATGGCAAATGTTTTGTTATACATATTTTACCACAATAAAAAAAAAAAAATTTTAAGTGAAGAGTATGATTAATGAGATTCTTTTTTTAAAAAAACTAACTATAGGAGACCAAAGGAGCCCTGGTGGCGCAGAGGTTAAAGCGGTCAACTGCTAACCGAGAGGTTGGCAGTTCGAAATCACCAGTGGCTCCACGGGAAAAAAGATGTGGCAGTCTGCTTCTGTAGAGATTTACAGCCTTGGAAACCCTCTGGGGTCTCTATGAGTTGGAATCGACTCGATGGCTGTGGGGTGGGTATAGGAGACCAAATGGTCAAAAACTACTATAAAGCAAAGATGAAAAGGTAAGGGGGCAGGGAAACTAGAGTACTGGAAATGGTACAACCAGAACAGAATGAATGAGAATGACACATTGTGAAAAATGTAACCAATATCATGGAATAACTTACCTAGAAATTGTTAACTGGGAACCTAATCTGCTGTGTAAACTCTGACCTTAGACACAATTTAAAATATTTAAAAAAAAAAAAAAAAAGTGAAGAGTGGGTAGATTTCTAATTCTGAATTATAAAAATACTAGCAGGTAAAGAAACCCAGGGAGCCCTTGTGGGGCCCTGCTGCTGCCCAGCTTCCCAGCATCCAGGCTGCTCCTAATACACATCTGATTCCTTTGGGGGGATGGCCCACCCACCCTTAGTAAGGTTTTGGTAAGGGTGGGTAGACATGGACCCTCTCTCTAGGGTTAGCAGTCTTGAATAGAGTGATGGAGCACATTCGTTTGGGCAGAGGAGCCTGAAGGAGAGAGATGTTGAGTCCCAGGTGCCATGCTGTTTCCAAACCTGGTTCTCCATCCTCCCAGGCACCTGTGAACAAGCTTCTACCAGAGTCAGCTTTTTCCTCACAGCCAAAGACTCTAAACTGATACAGTACTATGGCTTAAAATTCTTTCATTAAACGGCCGGTAGGGGTGGGGGTGAGGGGACAACTCTCTTACTCCAAGTTTCTTTTAAATGAATAACGAATATAATAAACAATTAGCTTGCGGTAGATTACTGAGTCCTAAAACAACCGACTATTAGTAAGCATGGAAACTGTGATAGATGTCAGTTGGTTCATTAAGACACAAGTTAAGCCCAAGTCACAAAGGAGCTCCCTGTGCCAGGCCAGCCTCTACTTATACTCTAGCAAAAAATGAGTGAGCCACAGAACAGAATTTCAAATTCTCATGGAATCCAGACTTCCTGGAGCCAGGGAGGGTAGATGAACTCCCGCATCTATTGCCCTGAGACAATCTTTAAACCTTAAACTAAAAATATCCCCTGAAGTCCTCTTAAAACCAAACAATAGTTCAGCTTAACTAATAAATAATGTCTGCCTTGAGCATTATGCTCTTTTAAGCTCTATCTATGTAGGAATAAATTGACAACAGCAACTCCAAAGATTAGATAGGAAGCTCAGGGGCAGCAAATTTATATTAATGAGGGAGGAACAACTCAGAAAAGAATGGTGAGAAAGGTCACACAACTCGAAGAATGTAATCAATGTCACTGAACTACACATGTAAAAACTGTTGAACTGGTGTATGTTTTGCTGTGTCTATTCTCAGTAACAACAATAAAATTTAGAAAAAAAATTGTTTTAAATGAGTGGGGCCAGAAATCCAAGGACCTGGGTTTTACACCTGGCCACTCATCTCAAAGATGCACCATGATGCAGTGGACAGATACGACCTTTAGAGTCCACCAACTGGGCTCAGTCACAGCTTCAGCAGGTCCCAGGTAGGAGACATTAGACAAGGTACTGCAGCTTCTCAGCCGTAAAGCAGGGATTTCCAGCGGTAGCGTTGTCATAAAAATGAGCAATGAGATACACAAGGGGATTTGTGCTACTACACCTCCAACACACTGTGACTCATCCCTTCCTGCATCTCAGTCTCCCCATCTGTAAACTGAGAGGTCTAGACAACTGGGTGTGTCCTTCAAGGCTAACATCCAGGGTCTGCCCCAAGCTGGGAGATTTGAGATGGTAGAAGTGCAGGGGCCCCCATAACTTGCCTCATCCGGGTTTTCACTGGTGATTCTGGCAGCAATGACATGGCCTCGGGCCAGGGGAGGGTTGGCAGGGGTCTCAAAAGAAATAGGTGTCACCCCCCATGGCGACTCTCCATACAAAAGCCGGATATCCTTCAGCCGGTGCAGCGGCACGCCCATGGCAATCTAAAAATAAGAAATGCATCCACAGACTGTCAGGCCCGCTAGGACGCCAGTCCCAAAATGCCAAGCACAGTGTTAGATGCAATGTAGGAAGGAGCTCAATACATTGTTTCAGGTATGCTGACGCTTACTATGTGTACAAGAGTGTGCTATAGTGTGGCCAGAGAGACAGAGAAAGAAAAAGCCAAAAGGCAGACAGGCCCAGAGAGCTCAAAGTGTAACTGGGGAAACAAGCGACATTCATGAAACAACATCACGTCACAAGAAAATGTGTGGGTTCATAACAACAACACAGCCTTTATGAACCTCCAAAACGATATGCTAAATGAAAGAAGGCAGGCACAAAAGATCCCAGATTGCACAATTCCACTTACATGAAATATCCAGGAAAGACAAAACTATAGACAGAAAGCAGACCTGGTGGTTGCCTGGAGTTGGGGTAAGAATGGAGAGTGACTGCAAACGGGCATGAGGGATCTTTTGGGGGGCGATGGGAATGTTACAAAATTGGACTGTGGTGATGGTTGCACAACTTTGCATATTTACCAAAAATCATTAAATTGTACGCTTAGGTGAATTTTATGGTATGTAAATAATATCTCAATAAAGCTGTAAAAAATACGTTCAATAAAAGCTAAGGATCATTAGTGCTATGGAAGGTGAGAAGGAGGAAGTGCGTCTAGCTGGAGAGTTAAAGAAGATCGTGTGAAGGGCACAGGGAAAGCTGGGCTTGAAGAACGAGCCAAAAAGAGACAATTATGGACGTCAGCTTAACCAAATGATCAACTTAAACGTCAGCAATAAAAGGGACAAATTGACATTCTGTGCCTCCTGATCTGACGAAGGACATGACATCACTGGTGTAATGTTCTGCCAAAATATTTAATGTGAATCTAATCCGGAAGAAACAATTAGACAAATTCAAATCAAAGGATGCTCTGCTCGGAATTGAAATGTCAATGTCAAGAATAAAACAATAAACAGACTGGGGAACTGTTGGAGATTGAAGAGACTAAGAGATATGACAATGAATGGCATGTGTGATCCTTGATTAGATCTTGGCTTAAAAAAAACAAGAAACTAGCTATAAAGGGACATTATTGTGACAACTAGGAAATTTTTAACATGGATGGTATATTAGATAAATATGTGGTATCAATGTTCTAGCTCCTGAGTGTAGTAACTATGTTGTGGTAATGAAGCAGAGGAGCCCCGGTAGTGCAGTGGTTAAGAGCCTGGTTGCTAATCAAAAGGTTGGCAGCTCGAATCCACCAGTCGTTCCTTGGAAACCCTATGGGGAAGTTCTAGTCTGTCCTCTAGGGTCATTATGAGTCGCAATCAACTCAACAGCAACGGGTTTTGGTTTAATGGAGCAGAATGCCCTTGTTCTCAGGAGATACTTATACCGAAATATTTAGAGGTAAAGTATCATGAAGGTTCAAACCATCTCCCAAAAGGCAGAGCCAAAAAGTACATAAGCAGACATCCAGTATATCTGTGGCAGGAATTAGGATAAAAATGTCTTAAGAGGCTTCTTACAAAAAAACACCCAGCTGCCATTGAGTCAACTCTGACTCATGGCAACACCATGTGTGTCAGCGTACAGCTGCACACCACAGGGTTTTCAATGGCTGTGATCTTTCAGAAGCAGATAGGCAGCCCTTTCCTCCAAGGTCCCCCTGGGTGGATTTGAACTGCCAACTTCCCAGCTAGTAGCCAAGTGTTTCATCATTTATGTCACCCAGGGACTCCAGGGGGCAATAATGAAAAAAAAGTTGAGAAACACTGTTCTGTGTCTATGGGTTTCTGGGGGTCCACATCCAACCAAAACCAAACCTGTTACTGTCAATTCCAACACAGTAGAACTCCCCCATAGGGTTTCCAAGGATCAGCTGGCGGATTCAAACTGCCAACCTTTTGGTTAGCAACCAAGCTCTTAACCACTGCACCAGTGCCCTGAAATTAGATAAAATGTGTTTTTTCCGAGGAGAAGGTCCACAGCTTTTACCAGTTTCTCAAAGGGCTCTATGGCCAGGCCAAGGTGAGAAACCACTTAACGGAAGGTTCTCGGCTTGTGAGGTTCTCAATACAACTCACACATCCAAACAGTCCTTCCCCAGGGACAACCAGCCAAGAGATGAGCAGGACCAGAGACATGGCCTCCTGCCATGAGCCCGAAGCCTGTTTCCTCACCTGTAGCTGGGCGGCCGGCAGGTTGACGTCGGCGATCATTTCTGTGCAGGGATGTTCTACCTGCAGGCGGGGATTCAGCTCCAGGAAATGGAAGCTGCCGTCCTGGCTATAGAGGTACTCAACGGTCCCCGCGCTCACGTAACCCACAGCCTTGGCCAGGCGGACAGCACACTGCAAAGAAAACAGGGACAGAAGGCCTTGCAAGAGGTTTCCAGCGGCGTTCTCGGGTAAGTTTAAATGATGATGGTTATGGATTGAACGGTGTCCCCAAAAGTATATGTTGAAGTCCTGACCCCTGTACCTTGTGACTGTGACCTTGTTTGGGAATATAGGTTTTTTTTAATGTTAATGAGGTCATGTCAGGGTCCTAAACCTAATCCCATCTGAGTGGTGTCTTATAAAAAGAGCAGAACAGACACAGACACACACAGGTAAAAGACTGAGGCCACATGAAGATTCATCTACAATGTTGTTGAACTGAACATGTAGAAACTGTTGAACTGGTATGTTTTGCTGTGTATTCTAAACAAAAAACAACAACAACAAAAGATACATCTAGGAGCAGTCAAGGAATGCCTGGGGCTAATGACAAAGAAGGACCCTCCCCTAGAGCCAACGTCCTGATTTGGACTTCTGCCTGCAAAACTGTGAGACAATAGCTTCCTGTTTTAAAGGCATCCACTTGTGGTATTTCTGTTACAGCAGCACGAGGTAACTAAGACAATGGCTTATTAGTTGCCTCAACAAATGCATACTGCAGACCAGCTATGTGTAAAATAGTTTGAGTCCCCATAGATCAGCTACTCCAATATATCCATGCAATGCTGAAACCATCTCTATGATGGATGGGCCTCTTCTTGGACATCCACCCACCTTCTGGCAAATCTGACTCACAGAAAGCTCTTGCTGACTCTGAACCTAAATCACTCTCCCGGCCCTGGGAAGCCCACCTGCTCCATGATCTCAAACACGGCCGGGGTGGCGATGGTGGCTGGGGCCTCCTCAATGATCTTCTGGTGCCGCCGCTGGATGGAGCAGTCGCGGCCAAATAGAGATACGGCATTTCCGTACTGGTCAGCGAGAATCTGGACCTCCAGGTGGCGGGCGTGCTGGGCCAACTTCATGAGAAAGACGGGGGAGCCTGGGATCTCGCTCTGCACCTGGGAGGAAGCAGAAGGAGCTCACTGTTCCCTAGGAAACCAGGGCTGGAGCAGGAAGTTATCTGGAGAGAGTGGGGAACATCACCGTGATGTGGCCAGGGAACTCTGCAGTGATTTCTCTGCTCTTCTTTTGTCTTACTTCTCTTGAAGACTAACATCCTCATTTTTTTTTTAAGTCAAACACTGTGAAAATATATAATATAGAAAGTGGTGTTTCCCCACAATTCCATCTCCTAAAGATAATGTGTCATTAAGACGTTGGTATGCAACTCAAAGTAAAGGAAAATTCCTCTTTTCTGTGCTATTTATTATTTTAAAATAGAATCATTAGAGCTTGCACTGGATAGTTAAATATACATGATACTTGGCCAATTCTCAATTATTTATACAAACAGTATAGTGATCTGTAATGCTTTCTGAGGCAAAATGAGAAAAATAAGAACAATATATGAACTTTTCTTAAAGATAAAGTTACATTTTTGTTTAATGCTGAAATTATATCCTTTCTACATTTTGGTCTTAAATGCCTTTCTATTATGAAGTGATGAAATTGTAGATGGTAATTAGAATTCTTCGTGGCATCACTTAGGAAAAGAGTTACTCTAAAAAAGAAAAAAAAAGAGTTTGGTGCACAAACTATTTGGTTTTCTTCTATAGGTTCAGAAATACACACATAGAACATTCCTTTAAACAAAAATGGGACCAAAACATGCTATTCTGTAGCTCTCTTCTTCTCCAACTTAACACATTCTCTCAGATAGTTCTTCACGTTGGAACCTACAGACAGACTTACTTCATCCTTTTAATGGCAGAAATGTATTCCTTTATAAGGATGTCATCTAGAGATTGTTAAAGAAATCCATGTTCACATGGAATGATTTCTAAGAAAAACTGTTAAGTAAAAGAAAGCAAGTTGCAGTGAAATATGGGACGGTCCAACTTATGCTAAAAATAATAAAATAAAATTGTATGAATGTCTTTGTCTAAGTACATATTGTCAAAGTGCCGCAGAGACCCAACTGCTAGCAGTGGATACATCCGGAAAGGGGAAGGGGATTGGGAGGTGATGGCAGAAAGGAACTTTTTTATTCTTAATATATGACTGGAGTGTTTGAATTTTTACATTGAGAACATTTTCATACAGCACTCATGTAATTAAAAGCAAAAGCTTTAAAACCTGTACAACCCCTAAATGCAACGTGGGATCCTGGACCGAATCCTGGAGCAGAAAGAGGTCGTTTAGTGAGAAAACTAGTAAAATCCAAATAAAGTCTGGAGTTTAGTTACTAGAAATGTGTGATTATTAGTGTTATGGTTAAGGTTGTGTGCCAACTTGACTGGGCCATGATTTTCAGTGTTTTGGCAATTATGTTTGATGTACTTTGGCAGGTATGTAATGATGTAGCTATCCTCCATTTTGTGATATAATGTAATCACCTCCATGATGTGATCTGATGAGATCAGCTAATCAGCTGTAAAAGGAGTTTCCTCGGGGGTATGGCCTGCATCTAATACATATGGATGTTCTGGCAAAGCTCGCTGGCTTTTGCTTGCTTCACATCCTGCATCTGGCTTGTCATCATCCAACCTCCAGTTCTTGGGACTTGAGCCAGCAGCCTACCATACTGCCTGCCAATCTTGGATCCATTAGCCTCCACAGCCCATGAGCCAGCTGTCCGTTGCCTGACCTGCAGATCTTGGGTTCAATAGCCCCTGCAGCTATGTGAGTCAGGAGAAGCCTCCAGCCTGACCCACAGATTTGCGACTTGCCAGCCTCTACAACTGTGTGGCCATTTCCTTGAGATAAATATCTGTGTGTGTGTGTGTGTGTGTGTGTGTGTGTGCATGTGTGTGTGTGTGTGTGTGTGTGTGTCACACATGCTTCATTGATTTTGCTTCTCTAGAGAACTCAGCCTAAGACAATCTCTTAGTTGTGACACAGTAATGTAATATGATACAGTAACATAGGATGTTAATATTAGAGGAAACTAGGTGAAGGGTAAGGAGCTCTGGTGGAGCAATGGTTAAAGTGGTCAGCTGCTAAACAAAAGGTCAGCAGTTCAAACCCACCAGCCACTCCATGGGAAAAAGATGTGGCAGTCTGCTTCCATAAAGATTTACAGCCATGGAAACCCTATAAGGTAGCTATGAGTCAGAATTGACTGAACAGCAGTAGAGTAGGTGAAGGATATGTGGGAACTCTGTGCTATTATTGCAAGTTTCTGTAAGTCTAAAACTATTAGCCCAAAATCTACACACCTCGATGGAGACATTACAGTTGTTAAACTGGTACTTTACCTAACACTCACATATTGCTGACAGCTATATATAGTTGGTACAAACTTTTTAGAAAACAATTTACTGATATGTATTTGTAAATGTATGTAAAGTATATATTTAATTAAGTCCTTCTCCCCTAGGTCTTTATCTGAAAAAATAATTCAGAAGAAGGAAAAAGAAAGCGAAGTATTTTTTATAGTATTAAGTACCATATGATACTATGGTATAATTGTAGCATTGTTTATCAAATGAAAACGGAAACAAGCTAAACATTTAACAACAAAGGAAAGGTTTGCTGATAAATAATATGGTCACATATGGAATACTGTGAACTTATCAAAATAATGTGAGGACTGGAACAACATGGCAAAAATGTTCATGATATACAATTTACATTTTTTAAACTATAAAACAAAATTTTGGGCAGACTGAATAGAACTCTGTAAAATATACATATGAACAAAGTCTAAGAAAAACTCTAGAAATATTAAAATGGTCAGATTCAGAATGGGAGGGTTGTCAGTATAAATTTTTTCCTTTTTTTTTAAAACATTGCTAATGTAGTAGATATAATGTCTTAAAAGTAGAAAACCAACTACAAATAAATATATAATTAATTCCTACAATTAAAAATTATCATACAGAAACTTTAACAATATCAAGACTACTAAAACTGATAAAATCTCCCATCCCTCAAATAAGCCAATACATTCTCAAATAGATATTCTGAGCCCAAATCTCTGAAATTTATCTTTTTAGAAACAACTGATTCACAAGATCAAATTTTCTAAAGAAATGGTTTGGAGACCATTATAAATCATGGATTCCTATGAGTAAAAATGCACACATTTGCTTCAAAATACATCACAGCGATATATCTAGCTCCTGCAAATGCCTTCTTCATGGTTACAAAATAATGCCAATAGCAATAATCTGGTTGCCAACAACTGAGTAAAAACAATTCCCAAAGACATGAAGGGGGTCAGAGAGAGGACGAAGGGTTGAATAGGTAGAGCGCGGGGCATTTTTAGGGCAATGAAACTATTCTGTGTGAAACTATAATGGTGGACACATGACATTTGTCAAAACCCACAGGGCTGTACAACACCAAGAGGGAGCCCTAATGTAAAATGTGGACTTTAGTTAATAAACAGTGTATCAATATTGGTTCATCACTTGTAACAAATATATCACAGGAATGCACGACATTAATGGAAAAAATGATGTGCAGAGAGGACAGGGTATATGGAAACTCTACTTTCTGCATAAGTTTTCTGTAAATCCAAAACTGCTCTAAAAATAAAGTCTACTAAAAAAAAAGATGACAAGAACAGCTCACTTGTCTAAAAAGAATTGGGAAATCCTCCGGACTCTCGGCCTTCCGGATTCCTTTCCCTCCACCGCCTTCAGAAGCTTTGATCATCAGTGGAAAACCAACTTTCTCTGCTACCTGGGAGAAAAGGACATGGAGGCGTCTTTAAAGTTAGTCATCTTCCTCAACTACAAACACAAGTGAGAAGGTTCTAGCTCCCTGGCCCCACAGGCTCTGTGCTTACCGCCAAACCCTCATCCACGTCTTTCACACAACCTTTGTCGTAAATATCTTCTGGGACGCTGATCATTTTGCCCTTTTGCAGACCATCCTCTGCCCACTCCACCATCAGCCCTGCAGAATCACAAGGAAAGTGGAACCCTTCCCAGGAAGGCAGAAACACACACACCACAGCAACCACAGGGCTCTCTCCTCACCCAAATCACTCTAGACCTGGGCGTCTGTGCCAACAAATTACAGACACGTTCCTTCAGCTTCCAACAATCGCTTTTTTTTAAATAATTTATTTGTTGTTGTTGTTGTTAAAAATATACATAGCAGAACATACACCAATTCAACAATTTCTACATGTACAATTCAGTGACATTGAATCTATTCTTTAAGTTGTGCAGCCATTCTTTTCCAAATTGTTCCTCCCCCATTAACAGAAAAAGGCTCGTAATTGTTTTTAAGGATTGACTCAACCTTGAAGGGGAAATCAAAGCTTAAGAAACTCAGACTGACCAAACTGTCAACAACTACTTTAAAACAAATATGAGAATGTAAGGAGGCAGGGAAACTAGATTAATGGAAACAGAACAACCAGAATGGAAATAATGAGAATGTTCACGCATTGTGAACAATGTAGACAATGTCACTGAACAACTTGTGTAGAAATTGTTGAATGGGAACTTAAACTGCTGTGTAAACCTTCACTGAAAATACAATAAATATTATTTAAAAAATAAAAATAAAATAAACAGATCCAAAGAGAAAAAAAGAAATTCAGACTAAGTCTACCAAAAACAACCATATTAGCCTAAATCCAAAAAATCCCAACTCTACCCCATGGAGTCATCCTATGCAAATCACTACTGGCCGAAGCACTGTAAAGATTTAAAAAAAAAAAAAAAAAATGCTTTCCACTCCAAATTTAAAATTCAAGCTTTAGAGGAAAAATAAATAAATAAATTTAACAGGAAACTCCTAAGACGGATTTCTGCTTATTTTTTTCTTTGTCCTAGAAATTCCATTTTTAGGATTTTAGCCTAAGGAGGTAATTAAACTTGTACATAGGATTTAACTCTAAGATTATAAAACCTCCACTACTTTTAATATTTTTTAAATTGGGGGGAGGACTAGAAACAACCTAAATGTGAAACTATAGAAAATTGTTAGTAAATTATAGTTCATCCATAGGATGTAATCCTATGTAGGCATTTCAAATGTTGTAAAGTCTATTGACATAGAAAGATACTCATTAATGGAAAAAAAAAAAGTCGTAAACTAGTAAATATAAGATCTCTGGTTTTTTAAAGGATATGCCTAGAAAAAAGGCTGGAAAGGTAGACACTCACACTGCAACAACTCCGTCATGTTTAACATGTTCAACACTGGGTCATAGGATTATAGATAATTTCTCTTTTCTTCCTTGTACTTGCCATAATTTCTAAGTTGTCTACAATGGAGCTGTACCATCTGTTCAATAATTTTTTAAAAAATCTAAGCTGGAGAATAAAAAAGCAAACTCAGGTCAAACCCAGCCCCCACCCCCCGCCCCCGCCACACACGCACGCTGTTCACACTGGCAAGATTGGCCAAGAAGTTCCCCCAAAGTGAAGCTCAGGAACTCTTACCGCTTCCACTCCAGGGCAGGGTTGGGATCTGCAGCGTCTGGGCCACAATGGTAGATGCGATCTTATCTCCCAGGGCCCACATGGCCTCACTGGGAGGGCCTGAAGGATTGAGGACAGGAAGGCAGGTGGAACGAAGTCAGCCACAAAAACACTCTAGGGCCGAATGCTTGCCAAGTGCTCAGTGGCAGAGCCAGGTGAGGAGTGGACAACAAAGAAAGGTACTCAAGGTCCCAGCTCTCAAAGAGCTTAAAACCAAGTCAGGGAAGAAAAAGATCTGTTAGCCCGCTACTGTATCAGTAAACTTTCAACAAATGTGGATTATAACCCTGGTCTGAGTTACAATCTAAGTTATTGTGGCATACACAAAATTCACTCTGGGAGCACAGGTGAAAAGCTAGACCAAGGAGAGGCAAGCCAGCACCTCAAAGAGCTAGACCTGGGGTCGACAAACTTTTTCTGTAAAGAGCCAGATAGAAAATATTTTCAGCTTTATAGGCCTGATGGTCTTGGTCACAACTACTCAACTTTGCCAGTGTAGGGCACAATACATGTATGAAAGGGTGTGTCCATGTCCCAATAAAACTTTATTTATAAAAACAGGTGGTGGGCCAGATTTGACTTGTGGGCTATAGTTTGCTGACTCCTAGGCTGACCATCAACGTCCATCCAGAGGAGCTAAAATGGAGGAATAATGAGAGGCTTGTATGACAACCAGTCAAGACAGACATGCCAAATGTACTCAGAAACCAGGGACAGAGAAAACATCAGCAGTCACAAGTCGCCAAGAAGACACTCGGCATATCAGGTGTTGATTTCCACTGAGCTGCTTCATGCATGGGCAAGTTTGTGTTGCAGGCCCCAAGGTAAGCAGCAGCAACAGGGATTTAGTGCATGACGAATGATTCCCCTAAGCCACACAAGGATGGTCAGAGGTAGCATAACTACCTATACGAAGTTAACAAACACAAATAAAAATCCTGAAACAAACAGATGCCGTAAGACAATAGTATCATTTTACCTAATAAGCAGCAGAGATGAGGGACTCTCGTCCCAAGGGGTCAAGGGCATTCTAAAGGCCCGAGAAAGGCCCAAGCAAAGGCCTGGCCATATCAGAAATGTGACCCCCCCAAACCCAGTCAGAAATATCTTAGTACCAAAAGGAATACAAGCAGAGGATTCTGTTTGTCCCAGCATCATTTGGCTGTGATAACCATCTTGATGTCTCCTATTTCTATAGGCTGGCAGACTTACCCATGTGCCCGCCCACCCCTTAACTGGCCTGCTCCCCACAATGAAAGTGTGAGGCAGGAATATCAAATGTACCCCACTTTACAGAGCAGAACTAGAAAGAGAATCTCACCCAGCCAAGTTTTCCATCAACATCCCAATTCCCATGTATCAATGGAAACACACTCTACCTAGAAAAGCAATCCCATGCTTGTGCAGGAGCTCCGGAAGTTTGGGGTTTTCAGAAGCATGGCCCCAGCCAGCCCACACCGCCTGCAAACGAGAGAGGCGTGAGTCAAGATCTTCCTTCCCCACAACACTGAAATCTCTGTGCTGTGTGGTGCCAGCCCTGGATTTCTGAGTCTCGCGGAACATGACTCTTCTACCTCTTCTGAACTGTGGGATCAGGTCGTTCTGGATTCAGGGTCACCGTGCCCCTGTGGGCAGACGCAGGCACCCTGGCCAATCTACCTGCACGGGGATTCTCTTGGCAATGTCCACGATCAGCTCCACGTTGGCATAGTTGTTGTTATTGGGCCCACCTGGGACAGGGACATACTGATCCGCCATCTTGATGTACTCTGGAGTTAAATGGGAGGGCAAAGGAGAGAACTGCTGAGAGATGTAAGCCAACTGCAGAACATTCTGTGAGATGCAACTATATGCAGACACTGAAATAATAACTATGAAGATTATGTAGCAACAACGGACAAATGAACCTCTGTACCCTCGGAAGCTTGTACATGAACCGTTGTACGTGAATGTTTATAACAGCATAGTCAAAAAGTGGAACCAACCCAAATGTCCACCAATGGATGAATAGATAACCAAACTGTGGTATATCCATACAATGGAACATGACTTAGCCATTAAAAAAAGAGGGTCCCTGATGGAGCAGTAAAAGGATGGGGTGCAGAACTCAAATTCTAGTAAGAAGACCAGACTTAATGGTCTGACTGAGACTGGAGGTGCCCCAGAAGGCATGGCCCCTGGACTCTATCAGCCCAGAACTAAAACAATTTCCGAGGCCAACTCTTCAAACAGGGATTGGACTGGACTATGGGACATAAAGTGATCTCGTGAAGAGTGTGCCTCTTAGTCAAGTAGATGCAAGAGACCAAAGGAGCAGCTTCTGTCCAGAGGTGAGATGGGAAGGCAGAGAGATAGGAGCTGGTTGAATGGTCAAGGGGAATCAGGGGGAAAGGAGGAGTGTGCTGTCGCAGAATGGGATGAGCAATTAGGGTCTCATAACAATGTATGTAAAAAAAAAATTTTTGTATGGGAGACTAACTTGAAATGTAAACTTCATTTAATTACAATAATAAAAAAAAATTTTTTTTAAAAAGCACTGATACGTGCTACAACATGGATGAACCTCGAAAATACTATGTTAGGTGAAAAGAGGCAAACACAAAAGGTGACATGTTGTATGATGTCTTTTATATGACATATCCAGAATAGGCAAATCCAGAAAGCAGATCTGTGGTTGCCAGGAGATGGAGGGAATGATTACTTAATGGGCGTGGGATACTGATCTTAGGTGATGAAAAAGTTCTGAAACCAGAAGGAGGTGGTCGTTGCACAACACTGTAAGTACACTAAACGCCACTGAATTGTGTACTTTAAAATGGTTAATTGCACGTTACGTGAATTTCACCTCAATTAAAAAATAAAAAAACAATGGAGTAACATTGTCTTAGTCATCTAGTGCTGCTATAACACAAATACCACAAGTGGATGGCTTTAACAAAGAGAAATTTATTGTCTCACAGTCTAGTAGGCTAGAAGTCCAAATTCAAGGCATCAACTCTGGGGGAAGGCTTTCTCTGTCAGCTCTGGAGGAAGGTCCTTATTGACAACCTTCCCCTGGACTAGGAGCTTCTCCACACAGGAACGCCAGGTCCAAAGGACACGCTCTGCTCCCAGTGCTGCTTTCTTGGTGGTATGAAATTCCCACGTCTCTCTGCTTGCTTCTCTCTTTTACATCTCAAAAGAGACTGGCTTAAGACACTATCTAATCTTGCAGACCTCATCAATATAATTGCCACTACTCCATCTTATTACATCATAGTGATAGAATTTACAACACATAGGGAAATCACATCAGATTACAAAATAGTAGACAATCACACAACACTGGGAATCACGACCCAGCCAAGCTGACAGATATTTTGGGGAGACACAATTCACTCCATGACACACATGTATGATAATGTGAAGAAAACTGCCCTTATGATTTTAATTTAATTTAATTTAATACATGTATGATGTATGTATCTCTGGACAAGGCCTGGGAGGGAGCAAAGGAAGATGGAAGAAGATGGAAGCAGAATAGTGGGATTAGAAGTGAGTTTTTAAAAAATTTCTACTTAAAGTTTATCTTAATATTGTTTTAGCATTAAACACTACAGTGTCTTAACTTTAAAATATTTATGCTATCTAAGCTAGAAATTCCAATTGTAAGACAATGTCCTAAGAACACACTCGTCAGTGAGGCCAAAGGATTTACGTAACAGGATGTTTGAGGAGCAGCACTTTGAACTGTGAAAAATCAGACCGTTCCACAGTCAAAGCCTGGTACATCTGAACTTCAGAGTTCTCTAAGATCCTGTGAATGAACGATGTGGCACTTTAGGTGCAAACACAGAAAGAAACCCAAGAGGATTGCTCCTTCTGGCCTTCCAGCCTCCAGTGTTCATCAAATACATGCATGCTGACCACTATGAAGGCTCCAGAAATTATAAAGGGAGCAAGTCAGAGAAGCTCATCGAATTTGACTTTAATATTAAATTAGAAAAGCAAGAAAACAATACAATAGCTGCAGACTGTGGTCAGTGGTAGGAAGGAAGTACCCAGGGTTTTCAGAGAGAGCAGCAAAGGAGGAAGTTCCCTGCTGGAGGAGGTGATGTTTGACCCAGACATTGTGGGCGGGGTGGGGAGGGGGCCAGGCAGCTGAGAGCTGTGGGAAAGCACCTTGAGCAGAGGGCACAGCTTGTGCCAAGGCTCTGAAACCAGAAAGAGCACAACAGGCCAGGGCCCAAGGGAGGCCAGAGGGACGTCAAATGGAGCCAGGGGCCTGCAGGGGTAGAGCCATGTGGGGGAAGTTTAGTCTAAGCAGGATGGGAGGATAACGCTTTGGACTCCAATCCCGCCTGCATTCGGGTTGTATGACCCTGGGCAAGTTATTTATGTCCCTGTGTCTCAACCGTCTCATCTGTAAAATGGGGTGTCATGGATTGAATTGTGTCCCCCAAAAATATGCTGTCAACTTGGCTAGGCCATGTTTCCCAGTATTGTCTGATTGTCCACCATTTTGTCATCTGATGTAATTTTCCTATGTGTTGTAAATCCTACCTCTATGATGTTAATGAGGCAAGATTTGTTGTTGTTAGGTGCCATCGAGCTGGTTCCAACTCGTAGCAACCCTATGTACAACAGAATGAAACACTGCCCGGTCCTGCGCCATCCTCACAGTTGTTCAATTGTTGTTATGCTTATGCCCATTGTTGCAGCCACTGTGTCAATCCATCTCGTTGAGGGTCTTCCTCTTTTTCACTGACCCTCTCTCTACTTTACACCAAGCATGATGTCCTTCTCTAAGGACTGATCCCTCCTGATAACATGTCCAAAGTATGTGAGACATAGTCTCACCATCCTTGCTTCTAAGGAGCATTCTGGTCATGCTTCTTTCAAGACAGATTTGTTCTTTTGGTAGTCTGTGGTATATTCAGTATTCTTTGCCAACACCACAATCCAAAGGCATCAATTCTTCTTTGATCTTTATTCATCGGCCAGCTTTTGCATGCACATGAGGCAAATGAAAACACCATGATTTGGGTCAGGCACACCTTAGTCTTCAAGGTGACATCTTTGCTCTTTTGGGTCAGGCACACCTTAGTCTTCAAGGTGACATCTTTGCTTTTCAACACTTTAAAGAGGTCTTCTGCAGTAGATTTGCCCAATACAATGCATCTTTTGATTTCTTGACTGCTGCTTCCATGGGTATTGATTGTGGAGCCAAGTAAAATGAAATCCTCGACAAATTCAATCTTTTCTCCATTTATCATGATGTTGCTGATTGGTCCAGTTGTGAGGATTTTTGTTTTCTTTATGTTGAGGTGTAATCCATATTGAAGGCTGTGGTCTTTGATCTTCATCAGTAAGTGCTTCAAGTCCGCTTCACTTTCAGCAAGCAAGGTCGTGTCATCTGCATAAAGCAGGTTGTTGATAAGTCCTCCTCAAATCCTGATGTCCCGTTCTTCTTCATATAGCCCAGCTTCTCGGATTATTTGCTACAACCCTCTCACACACCTTTCTTGACTTCAAAGCACGCAGTATCCTCTTGTTCTGTTCGAATGACTGCCTCTTGATCCATGTACAGGTTCCTCATGACCACAATTAAGTGTTCTAAAATTCCTGTTCTTGGCAATGTTATCCATAATTTGTTATGATCCACACAGTCGAATGCCTTTGCATAGTCAATAAAACACAGGTAAACATCTTTCTGGTATTCTCTGCTTTCAGCCAGGATCAATCTGACATCAGCAATGATATCCCTGGTTCCATGTCCTCCTCTTCTGAATCCGGCTTGAATTTCAAGCAGTTCCTTGTCGATGTACTGCTGCAGCCACTTTTGAATGATACTCAGCAAAATTTTACTTGTGTGTGATATTAATGATATTGTTCATTAATTTCCACATTCAGTTGGATCAACTTTCTTGGGAACAGGCATAAATATGGATCTCTTCCAGTCGGTTGGCCAGGCAGCTGTCTTCCAAATTTCTTGGCATAAATGAGTGAGGACTTCCAGAGGCAGGATTAGAGGCAGTTATGTTAACGACACAGGACTCAATCTATAAGATTAGCTTGTATCTTAAATCAATCTCTTCTGAGATATAAAACAGAGAAGTGGGCAGAGAGACAGGGGAACCTCATACCATCAAGAAACAAGACCCAAGAGAATAGCATGTCCTCAACCTGGGAAGATTGACGACAAGAACTTTCCCCAGAGCCGACAGAGAGAGAAAGCCTTCCCCTGGAGCTGGCACCCTGAATTCAGACTTCTAGCTTCCTAGACTGTGAAAGAATAAACTTCCTTTGTTAAAGCCATCCACTTGTGGTATTTGTGTTACAGCAGCCCTAGATGACTAAGACATGGGGCTAATGGTCAAACCTGTCCTTAGTGGCGGCTGTTAGTAACAAACAGAGCAGCGTCCCTGCTCAGCAGCTGCCCTTGGGAGAGCTCAGGGGACCAAGCGTGAGGTTGCTGATACTGGCAGCAGCACTGCAGGCACCAAGGAGGGGGATAATAGGACCTCATTTCTGGTTTGGTTTTGTTTTCATTTTGTTGTGGTAAAAGATGCATAACAAAACATTTGCCGTTTCAACCATTTTTGTGCACAATTCAGTTACGTTTTAATCACATTCACCAAGTTGTGCAACCATCACTACTATCCATTTCCAATTTTTTTTTCCATCACCCTTAAAAGTGCCCCTTAAGAAGGATTTTCACAACTACCATGGCCTCCACCAGACTGAGTCCAGTACAACTGGATGGTGCCCAGCTACCACCACTGACTGCTCTGACAGGGATCACAATAGAGGGTCCCGGACAGAGCTGGAGAAAAATGTAGAACAAAATTCTAACTCACAAAAACAGACCAGACTTACTGGCCTGACAGAGACTGGAGAAACCCCGAGAGTATGGCCCCCAGACATCCTTTTAGCTAAGTAATGAAGTCACTCCTGAGGTTCACCCTTCAGCCAAAGATTAGACAGGCCCATAAAAGAAAATGAGACTAATGGGGCACACCAGCCCAGGGGCAAAGACTAGAAGGCAGGAGGGTACAGGAAAGCTGGTAATGCAGAACACGAGGTCGAGAAGCGGAGAGTGTTGACATGTTGTGCCATTGTTAACCAAAGTCACATAACAATATGTGTACTAACTGTTGAATGAAAAGCTAGTTTGTTCTGTAAACCTTCATCTAAAGTACAATAAAATAAAATAAAAAATTAAAAAAAAAAAGAAAAGTGCCCCTTAAGTAATAACTCCCCATTTCCCTGTCCCTCCTGCCCCTAGTAACCACTAACAAACTTTGGTCTCTGTACATTTGCCTATTCTAGAGATTTCACGTAAGTGGGATCCTATTAATATCTGTCCTTTTGTATCTGACTTATCATAATGTTTTCAAGGTTCATCCATGTCATAGCATGTATCAGAACTTCATTTCTCTTTACGGCTGAGTAATAGTCTATTGTGTGTATGTACCACATTTTGTTTATCTGTTCATCTGCTGATGGACATTTAGGCTGTTTCCACGTTTTGGCTATTGTGAATAATATTGTTATGAACATTGGTGGACAAGTATCTGTTTGAGTCCCTGCTTTCAAGCCTTTTGGGTATTACCTAGGAGCGGAACTGGCGGGTCACATGGCAACCCTGGAAACCCTGGTGGCATATCAGTTAAGAGTTCCGCTGCTAACCAAAAGGTCGGCAGTTCAAATCCACCAGACGCTCCATAGAAACCCTATGGAGCAGTTCTACTCTGTCCTACAGGGTTGCTACGAGTCAGAATCGACTTGAAGGCAACGCCTTTGGTTTTTTTTTTTTTTTTTCGTTTATGGCGACCCTACGCTTAACTTTTTGAAAAACTGCCACAGTATTTTCCCGGAGTTGTGTTTTTAAAAGATCACTCTGCCTGCTGTGTGGAGAGGGGTCTGTAAAGGGTCAAGATTGTTCAGGGAAAAAAGTAAGTTGTCCAATAGTTATTTATGGAATGATCCATTTTAATAGAAATTAGCAGATAGGTAAATGAATGAATGAAATACAGTATATACAGCTGTTTAAAAATATCTGTAGTGACAAACTCCAATCTGCTGTGAATGAGGACATTTCTCAGAGATGGGATTTCCACTTTGCATGGTAACTACATGGACTTTTATATGGGCTGCTTTTGTTATCAGTAGAGAAGAAAGAACAATTAAATACGCGGCCCAGCAAGTTCCTCTGAGACTTCAGGGCCCAGGGAGACTTGCTCAGGTGGGGAAGGTGGTGAGGGCAGGTAAAGACAGAGGTTTGGCAGAGGGAGGGTCACAGCCCAGGTACCTGCATTGGCCTTGAGGTCCTCAGGGGTCACCATGACCACAAAGCGGATGGCCCGCTCATTGCGGAACATCTCGTAGGCCCACCTGCGGATGGAGCGCATGCACTTGACGGCGGCGATGCCATTGTTGGCAATGAGGACCTGAAGCAGGAAAACGAGGAAGGAGCAAGGGCTGCACATCTACCTGTGGCACAGGCTTCGTGCTTCCAGGGTCATCTCAGGCTGCAGAACCTCCTGTGTGCCTGGAGGATGCTATACCTCTTTGTATTTCTATGGCACACCGCAAGCACGAAGCAGGCACTCAAAGTTAGGTTGCATGATGGATGAGCGAATGAATGAATGATTTTTATTCCATTGGCACCATCGTGATCACCCTTAACATTTTTTTTTTTTTTTGAATGTTTAGTATGTACCAAAGGAGCCCTGTTGGCGCAGTGGTTAAGTGCTCGGCTGCTAACCAAAAGGTTGCTGGTTCAAACATACCAACTGCTCCAGAGGAGAAAGATGTAGCAATCTGCTTCCATAAAGAATACAGCCTTGGAAACCCTGTGGGGAAATTCTACTCTGCCCTATAGGGTCACTCAGCTGGAATCAACTCAGTGGCAACGGGTAGTATGTACCAAGCTGTAGTGCAATGTATTACACATGCATTCTTTCATTTCATCCTCACAGTGGCCCTTTGAAAGAGGTTTTGTTATCATCCCTATTTTGGCATTAAAGACATAAAGACTCAGAAGAGTTAAGACAGTTGCCCAAGTTCACATAGCTAGTAAGCAGCACAGCTGGGACTCCAGCCCAGATCTGTCTTATTCCACAGTCTGACCTGAGCTCTTAACTGCTGTCTCTGCAATTCAAAGCCTAAAGGTCTCAGGTTTGGTAAAGAGTAAAGGCAATAATAGTGGCTGCCCCCAACAGCAGAGAACACTGGGAGGGGTACAGGTTTCAATTCCTGGCTGTGTCACGAATTTGCTGTGTGGCCTTAGGCAGATCCTTGCCCACTCTGAGCATCACCTCCACATGAGGAAGTTGGACTGGCCAACCTCTGGGCTGGGTCTCTGTAAGGTTTACAATTAACTTTACCCAAAGAATTGGGTCTTTGTCCTTGGTTCCTGAGTGATAACCTCTAAACCCTTGGAGTTTCTCCAGGAACTGAATTGTCTTTTATCTGTAAGGGCTCCTGATTACACCTGAGGTTTTATGCTAATGAGGTGACCCAGGTCAGGGTCGGCCAGTCCAGAAAGACCTACCTCTGGATATCAGCCCAACCCCAGGGGAGGGGGCATGAGTCAATCAATCATGCCTAAGAAATGAGGCCCTAACAAAGGCTCTGGAAACGGAAGCTCCATGGGCTTCCTGGTTGGTGATAGACATCAACCCACATGAGAGGGTAGTGTGTTCCTTTTGGGGACATGGCAGCTGTGAGTTGGGAACCCTCCCAGACCTTACGTTATGCAGATATCTCTTTATTTATATTCTTTTAGCTATAATACTTACTGTAACAGTAAGTATGGAACTTCTATGAGTCAGTCTAGCGAACGACTGAACCCAAGAGGGTAGTAGGAGCAAGCAGGTCAGAAGGGAGGATATCGTGGGGACACCGAAGTTTGGGCTGGCATCTGAAGTCTTAGGCAGACTTGGCAATCTGGAGGACTGTGCCCTTTACATCTGAATTCTGACCTGGCCCAGGTGGTTAGGGTCAGAGGAAGAAGGACGGTATGTGCAGTGAATTGGAACTGAACTCCTTCGATTTAGTTGGAAACAGAATGGAAGAGATAGATTACACTGCAATTGAATTTTACAATCTCTAAGAAATAAAACCTAATTCTAGTTTGTTCTGAAAAAAAAAAAGTATACATGACAATTTACCTGTCATTCCTGAAGGACATACCCCATTAGCAATTTGGGCAGTGGTCGTCTCTGTTTTACAGAAGGGGAAACTGAGCCCTGGAAAGGCTAGGTCACTTGCCCAGATCTCACATACACCAGGATTTGGCCCTAGGTTTCTGACTCCGGGCTCAGTGTCCCTTCTACCTTTTCATAAATGCTTCTTGGGAGTTGGTGAAACAGCTGGGCCTTGGCTTTCTCAACCTTATTACCAAAGCAAGGTGAAGAGGGAAAGCCTGCTGAGTGACCCCAGCCTGGCCCAGTTTCCCTCGGTCCCCATTTGTTCTAGCACATTCTGGGAGCCCCGTGGGGGAGAAGGCTGCTGTAAGTGAGCCTGCTGTTCTAGTCTCCAGGACTGTGGCTTTCCCATGAGAAGTTCTGAAGAGAGGGCATGCCCAAGGTCAACTCCTAAGCCAGAAGGTACAAGGGCTCCAGGATAAGGCCTTCTGTGGCCACCACCCCTCTGGGTACCTGAGGACTGAATGCCAGCCATCAGCTGGGCTGGCTGCAAAACAGTCTCCTGGTGAGTGTGGCAAAAATGCAGTCTATGGATGGCCACCTAGGAGACTGTGAATCCCAGGATCTGGGGCAGGGCAGAGAGATCTGTGTTTTTAACCAGCAAGACTAGTGGCCACCAGGTTTGGGACAAGCATCAGTCTCAATCACTCAGTGCTGCACTAACTATGCTGGGGTGAGGGCGTGGGCTCTGGAGTCTGACAACCAGGGTTCAAATCCCGGCTCTGCCACCGACCAACTGTGAGACCTGGGCTATTGGCCTCTACTCTCTGAGCCTCAGTATCCTCATCTGTAAAATGATACCCACTGACAGGGCTGTGGGGATTGCTAAGCGCGATACAAGGATTAAAGCAGTTAATATAATGTCCGGCCCAGTGCAGGCCCTCAATAAATGGTAGCTGTTGCTGCTGGTATTGTTATTATTGTCATTGTTATTATTATAGTTACCACCACTCAAATAGAATGGAAGCTGACTTCTGTTCAAATCCCAGCTCCATCACTCATGAGCTACGTGACCTTGGACAACCAATGTCAAATCTCCGTATCCTAACTTCCCCATGACTACAACAAGAATAATCATAATAGTATGTGGCCAGACGAATGAGAAACAAATGTGAAAAGCCTCTGTCAATGGCAACTCTTAGCAAACGGTTCCCTTTCATCGCTGTCATTATAGTACATGGGTCTCCTCTCCTCTAAGAGGCTGTAAACCTCAGGAGGGCAGGGCTGTGTTTTAAGCTTCCCCCCTAATAAGCTGGGTGGTGCAGTTAATGTGCTCAGCTGCTAACCTAAAGGTTAAAGGTTCCAGTCGATCCAGAGGTGCCTCGGAAGAAAGGCCTGGCAATTCACTTCCAAAACAATCAGCCATTAAAAACTCTATGCAGCGCTGTTCTATTCGGGCACACATGGGGTCGCCACGAGTGGGAATCAACTCAACGGCAACTGGTTTTGATTCCAGTAATCTAAAGAGCAGCCCCTTTCACAAAAGCACCTCAGGGCCCTTTGCAGGAGCCTGCTGACTGGGCTCAGAGGCCTCAGTCTCCTCTGTGAAATGGGCTACAACACCTGCTGTATGGGCTACTGCGAGGGTAGAAAGCACCTGCAGGTCAAGCACCCAGCACTTAGCAAGTGTTCAGGAGACAGTTCCCTTGCCCCCTCTAAGGAATGCCTCAGAAACTGGTTTTCCACCTCCAGCTAGGATGAGGGGCCCCTCCACCCAATCCCAGCCACCACCCAGAATGGCGGGACACATCTGTACCTTCTCGATGACCCGATTCCCCCCAAAGCGTGTGATGAACTCAGCTGGGGAAGCCACGGTAAAGTCTCTGTGCAGATCCAGCTTTTTGTGCTCACGGCCCCTCTTCACCAGGTGGAGTCCTGACATGCTTGGCCTGCGGATGGAACGATAAACTGCCTCAGGGAGGGGGCCAACTGGGCTGCGGGCGCAGAGCACCCCGTGTAGGGGAGATCTGGGGGCCCTGCACCTATAAAATGAACAGCAACAGAGAAGCCCACATGTCAGACCCCTCTGCTTTGCATTCCTTCTCCAGAGACCTTGAAGCACTTCATAAAGCTACTTGAGGGCAATGGCCTGATCTACCCTGAGACCAGAAGAACTAGATGGTGCCCAGCTACCACTACCAACCATTCTGACCAGGGCCACAATAGGTGGACCCTGATAGAACAGGAGAAGAATGTAGAATAGAACTCAAATTCTTAAAAAGTCCACTTACTGGACCAGTTGAGACTAGAGGACTCCCTGAGACTATCACCCTGAGATAAGCTTTAAACCTTAAACCGAAATTATTCCTTGAAGTGACCTTTCAGCTAAATAATAGATTAGCTCATAAAATAAAGAGTTATCACCCGTGAGTAATGAGCTCCTTTAAAAAATCACCTATGTAAGACCAAATGCCCAAAATTACTCTAAAGCAAAGATGAGAAGGTAAGGGGGCGGGGAAACTTGAATAATGGAAACAATACAACCAGAATGGAATGAATGAGAATGACGATACATTGCAAAAACTGTAACCAATATCACTGAATAATTTATGTACAAATTGTGAAATGGGAACTTAATGTACTGTGTAAACTTTCACCTTAAACACAATAAAATATTACTTAAAGAAAAAAAAAGACACTTGCAGGTGGGCAGCAGCTCCTGGAGGGGCCAGGGTACAAATGAAGCAGGAGGGAGCCCTTCGCCTGCCTTCAAGTATACACTTAGATTTTTAAAATCTTCAATTACCTTTCACTTTACATGATGGAACATGAGTTCTATCATTTAGGAACTCAAATAGTACCAAACAACTTAGAACAGAGGTGGGAGTTGGTGATCAGGGAGGAAGTCCACAGGGGCTCCTTGACCAGGGCAGTGGTTACATTCTAATACTTTATAGACGTATTTGTTAAATTGTATTTATATCTTCCATGTACTTTTCTGCATGTACATTTCAAATTTTTAAAAACTGAAAACAAAAAAATCTATAACAAAATAGAGGTTCCTTGCCCCACCCCTCCCCCACACCACAGAAAATCACTTTTGACTCTTTCTGGCTTTTATACATCTCCACAGTTCTAAGAAGGAGCCCTGGTGGCACACTGGTTAAAGCACTTGGCTGCTAACTGAAAGACTGGAGGTTCAAATCCACCAGCCACTCCACGGAACAAAGATGCGACAGTCTGCTTCCATAAAGATTACAGCCTTGGAAACTCTAAGGGGCAGGTCTACTCTGCCCTATAGGGTCACTGTGAGTCGGAATCAATTCAAGGCAACAGACAATGGGTACAGTTCTAAGAGGTGCAAATGGCTTAATGCTCTAGGCAGCTAACAGAAGGCTGGAGGTTGCAGTCCATGCAGAAGCACCAGGCCTGGTGATCTACTTCTGAAACGTCAGCCATGGAAAACCCTATGGAGTGCAGTTCTACTCTGACACACATGGGGTCGCTGTGAGTTGGAATCAACTCGATGGCAACTGGTTTATAGTTCTAAACGATATAAGTATGCCATTTTGTGAGTCATCAGTCTAAGACCCCATCTACAGCCTCCCTATTTTGATGAGGACTTAGCTGTCTTGCCCGGCCACCGCATCCGCTGCCCTGCCCCCAACCCCTCAACAGAGGTACGGTATACCATCACTTGGGTGAAGGAGCCCAGGTGGTGCCGTGGTTAAAGTGTTCGGCTGCGAACAGAAAGGATGGTGGTTCAAACCCACCAGCCGCTCCTCGGGAGAAAGATATGGCAGTCTGCTCCCGTAAAGATTTACAGCCTTGGAAACCCCATGGGGCAGTTCTACTCTGTCCTATAGTCTCTATAAGTTGGAATCGACTCAACGGCAGCAGGGTTTTCACAAGTAATTTGGTAAATTCAGTATTCAGTGTTTCATTAGCCTGTGATCATTATTCACAGAAGAGTTCTGTAGTATACCAAATTCTTTCTTTCATTTGTTTCCCCCCTGGAGTTAATAATGTCATCCATTTGCTTCGTGTTCGCTGCACCTGTTGCTAATTTAGCCCACTCCTTTTAATAGCCTCTAAGTACACCAAAAGCTTGGAGGCTGGAACCCACCTAGCGGCACCATGGAAGAAAGGCCTGGCAATCTGCTTCCATAAAGATGACAGCCAAGAAGATGCTATGAAGGCCAATTCTACTCTGTAACACATGGGGTTGCCAGGAGTCGGAATCAACTCGACGGCAACAGTTTTGGTTTGACACATAAAATAACAGATCAATTTCATTTTTTTTTTTTCCATTGGAGACATCCCTCCTACGATGTCTCTCTTTTCATGTGGACTGCCCGTTCTCTACGCCTCCTACAAAGCTGCCGTTCTAGGGCCTCCCTTTGCTGACATCCTTAGAATTCCCTTGGCTTTACCTCTGGGATTAGATGCATATTTGGGGGTACCTCATGGCTCCCTCTTTCTTGGTGTATTCCCTTATCTGCTGGAGCATAACCTCCAGTCATTTCATCCACTTAAAAAGATAGTATAATGGTAGGGCGCATGACAACGACAGCCTCAATGTGCCTGTAGTGCTCCTGGCTGCACCGGCCTCCCTCCTCACAATCATTCGGAGGTTTCTTCTGATTCTGTGTGGGATCACCTGTCTCCCATCTGTTGCTCTTCTTGGTTTACTTTCTTGTTTCAGTGGAAGGCATCCGCCAGTAGCTTTCTAAGAAAGGGTGTTTGGACAATAAATGTTTTGCGGGCTTGCATGGTCTAAAAATGTCTTTCTTCTGCCCTCACATTTGACCCTACCGTTTGGCTGTGTACGGAATTCTAGGAAGGAAAACCTCCTTCCGACTTCTGGAAGCATTTCGCCATTGTGTTCTGGCTTCCAGGGTTGCTAGAACCAGAGTTGTTCTGATTCCTGATTCCTGATCCTCGACTGCCATTGAGTCAGTTCCAACTCAGCAGCCCTATAGAACAGAGTAGAACTGCCCCAGGGCTTTCCAAGACTGTAATCTTTACAGACTGCAGACTGCCGTATCTTTCTCCTGCAGAGTGACTGGTGGGTTCAAACGGCCAACCTTTCGGTTAGCAGCTGAGTGCTTTAACCAGTGTGCCAGCAGGGCTCCTGATGCCCTGTAAGTGACCTGTTTTTTTTTCATCTGGAAGTTGTAGAATCTACTCTTTGTCCCCAGTATGCTATAGTTTCACACGCTGTGCCCAGGTATGAGGCTGCGAGTCTGTCAGGACCTTTCAGTCTGGAAAACTCATGTCCTGGGAAATTGCCTTCAAGTATTTCCCCCATGATTTCCTCACCTCCTTTTTCTCTATTCTTTCCAGAAGTCCTATTATTTGGATGTTGACATTACTGGACTGGCCCTTTAATTGTTTTTTATTTTCCCCTCTCCTATTTTCTCTCTTTATTCTCCTGTGTGATTGCCTCATCCTCACTGTCTCACTGTGCGGCTGAGTTTTTCATTTCTGCAATTATGGTTTTAATGTCCAAGAGCTTGTTTTTGGTCTTCAAATGCTCCGTTTTTTATAGCGTCCTGTTCTTATGTGTGCTATACCCTCTCTGACTTCTATGCGATCAATGATAGGGTTTTTTGTTGTTTTTTCTTAAAGTTCTCCTGGCATGGTTTCTGTTTCTTCCAAGTTTCCTGTGACCATTTCTTTGGGCCCTGTCTTCCATATTAGGAACTGGACTCAAATGTTTGAGAAGCCCTGAGAAGCCCTAGTTACCTCAAGACTAAACCAAAAAAAAAAAAAACCAACCAAATTCGTTGCCATTGAGTTGATTCTGACTCATAGTGACCCTACAGGACAGAGTAGAACTGCCCCATAGGGTTTGCAAGGCTGTAATCTTTATGGAAGCAGCCTGCCACATCTTCCTCCTGCAGAGTAGCTGGTAGGTTCGAACTGCTGACCTTTCAGTTAGCAGCTGAGCACTTAACTATTGCACCACCATGGTAGGGACTAACGAGCAAGCGAGAAGCACAGAGCCTGTGGGTGTGGCTGGCTGACTGTGAGCTTCAACATAGGGTGATCTGGAAGGGTTGTTTGTTGGGGAGCTCCATGTCAGTATCTTTAACGTCTTCCACCCTCGCTGGTCCGATTCCCTAGGAAAAAGTCTTTTGGTCTTCTGTCTGGAGGACAAAGGTTGGCTGGGGAGAAGAGGGGGTGGACAGGCTGGGCAGTTCTCAGGATCAGTACCTACACAGATCCTTATCCCGTTGCTTGGGATACAGGCCCCACGCCCTCAACTGTGCCCATCAACCCCCAGAGTCCCAAGGCCTTCTATCTTTCCCTCTAGAGAATGAACTGCTGCCTGCTTCTGCTGGGACAGAGGTGGGGTGGTCCCCCAGCCACATGGAGCAGGGGAGGGAATCTAGGACTATTTTACCCAATCCTTCTTATTTTGGTACCCCTGTTCACCCCTCCCCTTCCAGAGGTACAGATGCTGCCAGCTTCTGCATCTGCAGGGGGTCTGCAGTCCAAGTCCCGTAGGTTCTCAGCCTTCCTCGCTGCTTTAGGATTCGGCCTTTTTGGTTCTACTGAGCCAGTTACCACTCGTTCAGCCACTTTCTGGCTTCCAAAACGTGCTTGCTAATATTCCCTCTTGTTCTCCCTGTCTTGACGAATTTCTATCTCTTTTTAAAAATTAATTAATTTTAAAAAGCTCCCTGCTGCCGTTGCGGTGGGATTTTGTAGGAGAGAACCAGTGTGTACGCTCAGTTCACCATCTTAACCTGATAATGGGGTGTTCAAGCTGGGGAGACGTCTGCTAGGAATTAGTTAGAGGTTAATGACCCAGATGTGTGTCCCGCAACTGTGTCATCCGGCACCTTAGGAGGCCAAGGCTAGACGGGGTCAGGAGCCAAAAGTCTCGGTGAAGAACCGATGGGTCACGATGATCACCACCAGCCCGCCACCATAGATTTGT